GATCCTAACTTGTAGGTGGAAAAAGTTTTCAGTTGTTAAACAAGCGTCAGTGAGTGCAGTGGAATAAACTGTTAACTCTGAAATAGGCTTTCTGCGAGTGTGGGATGAAAGGCAGAAAGATGGCCCGGGGCTTTAGGTATCACCTCGTACTTGAGCTTTATTCAGAGTTAATGGAAAAGTACTGTAAAAGAAAAAAAAGAAAAAAGTCAATCAAACAGTGCACAAGGTGAAGACGAACCAACTGCAGAGTTTTTAGACTCATCAGTGAATCATCAGCCGTGAAATCATTTGGAAACAGTGTGATGACAAACTGGAAGTGTGTATTTCACCAGCTGTTGACTTCAGTTATATCCACACACACTTCTTTAATCTTCAACAGTTGATCATCTGCCTCCATCTCATCTTCTCCCCCACTGTGACCCCAACACCAAGTCCTCTCTGGTTTCTTCCTCTTTTCCTCTTGACTTGAAACTCAGTCTCCCATCATTTCTCCATTATCTCTTCAACACATGTTGAAAATACAAAATAACTTCATATGGAAGCCCAGTTGAGCTTTAACAGTGGATTAACGTAAACACACTGTGTTGTCTGGGACTTTGTCCTTCATTGAACTAATCCTTCGTTCCTGACGTTCCCAGGGTGAACTGGTTTCAGACCAAGATGTCGTGGACTTCATCATGAATCAGCCAAATGTTGTTCCTCGAATCAACCCCAGAGTTCTGTCCACCAGTAGAACATACCTGGACCTGTCTGATACTAGTAAGTACACACTATGGTACTGTAATGGCCTTGATTTTATGTGTCGTGCTAAGCTACAGTTTTTTCATATGTAAAATAATCTTTATTTGTCTTTTTTTTACTTTGAAGATTTGACAGAAGAAACTGAACAGAACGAGATAGCAGATAAATAGCATAAATACTGTGTCTGTATAAATGGCGTGGAAATATTACCATACTGCAATTACAGCCCTTCTACAAACCACTCAATCAATTCATCAAACCAAAATTCACTGATATGGTTAGGAAACTTTGTACTTTATTCAAAGAAAGCACAAAGTTTTAACAGTGAAAGACTGAAAGAACTCAGATGATCCTGAATTAAATGAGATGAAATTGATGTTCTCCTGAGGTTTGTGGAGAAACTGATATTGAACTTTTCTATTCCCTGATCCCTGGTTCTTTCTAACTCAATTAGCTTCAACATCTTAATAGGGAAATGTTGTTGCTTTGTTTTCTAAATTTATTGCAACACAAGCTTAAATAAATTCATTATTACAAAAACCTATTTCCTTGATACGATGATTCTGTCACTTTAATGAAGTTCACTTATTAAAGTCAAGTGTCACCTTTCCTACAGTTTATCTCTTTATTCCTCTTCTTTTCGTGAACAGATAACTACTTTGTGGATGACTACGCTCGCTTCTCAACTCTGGACACAAAAGAGAAGAGCACCGCTGTGGCCAACAGCATGAACTACATGACCAAGAAAGGTGAGCGTCCACTCAGGGCTTTGGTGCCATGAAACCTTTATATGATGTCAGATCAAAACCAGGTGTTGAATTATTCTGATTATTGGCATTAAAAATACGTATAAGGATGAAGTTGAAACTCAAACGTTACTAAACCATGTTCCTCAAGATAATAGAGATCAATATACTGCTACACTCACTGTTGACATGTTGCTATAGCAACTATACTGTTTGCCCCAGCTGTACTTTTGTGTGAGGCTGTACTGAATGGACGTGTTCTGTGTTGCTTCTCATTAAGATGATCATAGATGTTCTCAGGGTGAAATCCCCTCATATTCTCTCCTCTTGTTCTCCCTTCTCCTATTTTCCTGGTTTTATTCACATCTTTAATCACCCCTCCCTCACCCCTCTCCCCCAATCAGGGATGACCACCAACAACAGGCATGGTAATACCTCTCCTTTTCCCTCATTTCCTCGGGCATGGTAATACCTCTCCTTTTCCCTCTTAATTTCCTCACTCCTCACTTTCGATCAGTTTTGTTTCCTGTTTTGTCAACAACAACAACAATGTGACACTCATTGTTGTTTGCTTGTTGGATTCACCATCGTTCCTCCATCTGTGTTATGTTTCTCTGAGGACGCGGCAACTAATTGATGCATGCAACAATTGTGTGTCTAGTAAAATCAACAAAAGAATGTGTGAGGGATTTCTTGAGCTGTCAAAATTAACACTAACTGGGAAAATAATGTTTCAATGCACTGACAAAAGGAACGAAGCTGTATATCTGATAATGTATCTGATAGCTGATAAAAATAACCCTCCATCCACTTATAGTATGTTTCAATGCACTGACAAAAGGAACGCAGCTGTATATCTGATAATGTATAATGTTTTAATACACAGTCAGTTGATGGTGAGGGACTGTAGACTGATTCATACTGTTGATGACAACGACTTCACTGTATTTGATGCACAGTAGTGACCAACATCCACAAGCTCTATGAAGCTTCATTTTGTTATACTTTTGCATCTATTCTTGATAACACATATTAAAAATTCCATCATTTGAATTAGTCATAAACACAGACAGATGAGAAACCGTTTTTCTTTTTTTTTTCATAGTTAGGAATATAGATTTATCTGGACTAATCATGATTGAACCACAGCTACTCTGTGATTAATCAGATTATACATTCTTATGGTTTGACAGCCTTACTGACTTCTAACATTGTCTCTTCCATCTCAAGAAAAGCATGGCAGTTGGTTAGACATCATCTGATGGCTGCATGGACGATGTAATTTTGAAATGAATCTTTTTTTTTCTTTTTTTTTTACTTGTAATGAATGGCTCATTACCTGCACATTGTGTTCTATCTTTTTAATTTAGTTCTCTAAGTGTCCCAGTCCTTTTCCATTGGACTTGTTTGACTCCTTGTCTTCTTCTGTGGTTCTGTAGATGATGGCTACATTCGCCCAGTGACCTTCTGGGTGGTGGGAGACTTTGACCGCCCCTCTGGACGAAAACTCCTCTACGATGCCATCAGACACATGGTATAAAGACTTTTGGATTATAAGCTCTGTGATAAAATGGTGGACACTGAGTAGATGAGGCTGAGACTAAAAGTCAACAACCCAACACATAAACTCAACTTTCAGTAGAAGTAAAAAGTTTATTTTGTAATTAGCTTTTTTCCTGATAGAAGATTGAATACCCCTCATATTCGTTCTTACATGTAATTCTACAAACAGCAGAGTTTAATATCAGTAAATTACTATTGGTAATGTTAATCAGGTTGTATCTTTTCAACCGTAAGTCTTAGTTTCCATGTGTCTGGGAGCTACCACGTTGGTGACCCCTGCGCTACAGTAATCATTAGAATACAGTATTTTAGACCTGTAGACCTTAGACTGTTTTTTTTAATCCTCTCTCCTTCCCTTAAATAGAAAACCAGCAACAACATTCGTCTGGCAATGATCAACAACCCATCAACCGATCCGTCTGCCGAGACGACCCGCGTGGCCCGAGCGATCTGGGCTGCCATGCAGACACAAAGTGCCAACAACGCCAAGAACTTCATCACAAAAATGGCCAAAGAGGAAACGGCTGCCACGCTGCAGGAGGACACCGACATAGGGGACTTTGCTGTGGGGGTGAGAGGCACAAACAACTACTTTTTTGCACAGAATCATGACTCAGATATATATTATATTGACTCTCCTTTTGATTTCTGTTTCTATTTCAGTCTCTCATTTTATCACTGTGTATGTTCTTCCTTCAGGGTATGGACGTTGTTTTATTCAAGAGTGCGTATGATAGTCCCCAATTTGATGTCCTGCGCTCCCACGCCACCTACTGCAGAGACGTGCTGAAGCTGAAGAAAGGACAGAGAGCAGTGATCAGCAATGGAAGAGTGAGTCACAGTGTTTGTTTTTATCTGGGACTTTAAACCTGCACTGAAGTAGAGGAAATGTAAACCTTTATTTGTTTTTTATTTTATTTTCAATCCAAAGATCATTGGTCCCCTGGAAGATGAAGAGGTCTTCAACCAGGACGACTTCCTGCTTCTGGAGAGCATCATTCTGAAGACGTCAGGAGAGAGAATAAAGAATAAAGTCCAACATTTTGAAATTGAGGAAGACAGGTAATCCAGTTTATTCTGTTGTTTGTGAATAAAGACAGAACATAATTTTGTCAGAAAATCCATATTATCAGATGCCATTGGTGTTTTTGTGACTCGAGGCTGGACTTCTTTCAGGGCCAGCGACCTGGTGATGAAAGTGGACGCTCTGCTGTCCTCACAGCCAAAGGGAGAAGCTCGGGTTGAATATGACTTTGCTGACGATCGATACAGGTGAAGATGTGATACCTGCAGGTGATCTGGACACGCAGGCGAGAGAAGACAGTGGAGTTAACGCTCTCATCTCTCTCCCTCAGTGCCGTGAAGATCCGTCCTAAGGAGGGAGACATGTACTTTGATGTTGTTGCTGTGGTGGATCCAGTCACTAGGGACGCACAGAAACTGGCCCCACTCCTAACAGTAAGTCGTAGTGTTAGTTTTGACCAACAGTTTGGATTGAACCAAAGTCTTTGGACTGAATTAGTCCATAGAACTGAGTTACCTTGGGTTTAGTTTTTGACATTGTAATTAAAAAAGAATTTTCGCTGAGTAAAGTACAATTAGATTTTGTCAACTAAAACGCAATATGTCATATTCTCATACATTTTTTAACATCTTACTTTTTCTCCAAATTATACAGTATTATTATAGTATTACACCCATTTTCTTTGGTCCTCACTCTTCCTCTCTGACCTTTCTCTCCCTCCACACTCAGGTGCTGAAGCAGCTGGTAAACGTCAACATGCGTGTTTTCATGAATTGCCAGTCCAAGCTGTCAGAAATTCCACTCAAAAGGTGAGAATCTGATTGTTTCTGCATGTATTGGATCCTACATCCTGGTTACACCAACAGATGTTCGTCTCCACCGCCCTGTTTTTTCCTCCCAGTATAATGTCGGTTTATTCTCATGTGTTTGTTGTGCGTTTCTTTTAAGCTCCATTTAAGAAGTGAGTGTATTTTTTGTCTCTCGATAAACTTTAAAGGAAAGTCAGTTAAAATAGTATAATATTGACAGATGTGTCAATGGAGTTTGTTTGAAGTTATTTAAGCATCTTAAACCAAAAAAAAATATTTACCCAAAAACCCTATTCCTGTTCTGTCTGTAACTTAATTTTAAAATGATTTCTAAATTACATTTTAAATCAATAAGGTATTAACATAGTTTGACAACTGTCTAACATTTCATTTTGCTTTTAATAATCTTATTGTAGGAGACACGATATTAGATTACCATGGTTTTACAAGAGCGCAAATACAAAAACCTAATAATGAGGTTGTCAGTAAGAAGAGGGAAGTCTTTAGTTCCAACTGACTGCTGGGAAACTCCTGGTATTTATCCTCCGAGTGGCTGAATACCACGCCCTGATCCAAAGACAGGACTGTTGTGATGACCAGGGTCGAGGTGTGAATGTTGTTTGATACTCCTGGGAGGTTGGTATCACCTGAGGGACACACATGTCTGTGTTGTCCTTGGAGTCTGTCTGTGTTGTTGGGTGAAAGAGAGTTGAGTTTTCTGGGGAGAGAACACCAACATTGTAGGTGGATCAAAGATGGTGTTTTTATCCACCTCCTCCGTTGATGGATGGTTTCTCCTCCAAACCATCCGTCTTTTCCAGCAGCCAGTTCTTGGATGAAGATCTGAACTGTCTTCAAGAAGTCAGGACAGTCTCGTTGGTTTCTTCTTTACTGCACTGACTAATGTTTTTCTATATATTCTAATCTATTAAGTTCACCACCAGATGTTGCCATGAAATCCTACACCGTCCTTGAAATCTCTGTTTATATCCTGACAGTTTTGACACTGATCAGTCTCTGACATTGAATTGAGAAGAAACTGTTTACACATTCTCCTCCTTACAGCAGCCAGTTTTATGTGGTCCTTTTTGCTCATGTTTTTACACAGAGGAGGAAATACCTACAGATATTTGGTCCTAGAAGACATTACAGGATTTTTAAAACATGTTTATTATCATTGAAGCTCAACTTGATTCCTTGATACACGTGAATATTTTTCAGTAAGGATCACCAGAAAAGGACTGCTATACCCAGTTCAGTTGCCTTCTCCTGGCAGTAACACAGCACACATTTATATCATCGTGTCTTTATCCAGTTTTTATCGCTACGTGTTGGAGCCGGAGGTGATGTTTCAGAGCGACGGCAGTTATTCTCCCGGGCCCTTGGCTAAATTCCTGGACATGCCTCAGTCTCCTCTCTTCACTCTGAACCTGAACACCCCTGAGAGTTGGATGGTGGAGTCTGTCCACACTCGCTATGACCTGGACAACATCTACCTGGAGGAGGTCAGGAACAGTAGTTCAGATATTTGGCATGTATATACAGGACTAAGACCAGGTTAGATATTAAATGTTTTATTAGGTGATTTTTTTAACTTTTATTTTTTACTTTTTTACTCATTTTCAGGTGTGAACTTTAGCCTTGGGGAGTTTCATCTTCAAAATTGTTATTGCAGAAAACCATATTGCTGCATTTAACTTATGTGTCTGCCCTCTGGTGTTTACAGGTGGACAATATCGTGGCTGCCGAGTATGAACTGGAGCATCTTTTGTTGGAAGGTCATTGTTTTGACGTCAGTTCAGGTCAGCCTCCACGTGGGCTGCAGTTCACACTGGGAACGGCCTCGGAGCCGGTCATTGTGGACACCATCGTCATGGCGAACCTGGTGAGCTTACTTAGTTGGTGACTAATATGAATGTGCTCGCCATCGTCATGGCGAACCTGGTGAGCTTTATTTGAAATAGAAACTTAGTTGGTGACTAATTTGAATGTGCTCAGTGCCCGCTGAGAGAAAGTTCACTTGTATCAAACTCTGGGCCCGTGGACCAAATCTGGCCCACCACGTCATTGAGTGCAGTTCAACCCCCCCTCACCCATTGACAGCTGGGATTGGCTCCACCCACTCCCCTACTTACTTACTTACTCCCCACTGCCAGTGACCCTGCAAAGGAACATGCTACAGATGTTTTTTTCCTTTTCTTTGTGAAGGGTTACTTTCAGCTCAAGGCCAACCCCGGTGCCTGGATCCTGAAGCTGAGAAAGGGACGCTCAGATGAAATCTACAAGATTTACAGGTGAGGTCTAATGATGAGCTCTGCCTTTAAATTCATATTTAATCACCTTCATAATTATTAATAATTATTTGATCTTGTCTTTGCAGCCATGACGGCACAGACTCTCCAGCCGACTCCGATGATGTCATCGTCGTCCTGAACAACTTCAAGAGCAGGATCATCAAAGTCAAGGTCAGTTCACTGACTCCAGTCTGTCACGGCGACAGCACGAGCCAAGACGGACATGTGCCCTTCAGAACGTTCGGCTGATTTAATTCATGTGTCCGGACAAATAACTCAAAAATCCAGGACAGTCAGTCAGTCAGTCAGTGAGTGACGACGTTTTAAGTCCCCTCAATTTCTGAGCTCATAAATTTTAATGTGCGTCTGAGACTCCAGTCTGTGTTGAGCCTTTTACATAATGCAGAACATAAAGTGTAGTAGGTGCATAAATTACAGAGGTGAAATTATAACATCAGCTGTCACTTCTTTGTCTTTTTTTTACAGTCTCAGACTTTTGATGGGACAGAGCAGCTGCATATTTTAGTGTGGGATATGAAAGAAGGAGACGGGCTCGGTTTAAATATGCAATAAATTGAGAAAATTGTTGATATAAATTAATGATATGAAATGTAATAAAGCGGACACTTTTTTAGGTACGTTTTATTATTACCTCCTTGGACCAACGATCGCTTCATGGCATTTGTTTAACAAGATTCTGGAAATTTCTGCGGGTTTTTTGACTCGATTGATTTTCAATCTATGCCCAGGTCCAGAAGAAAGCCGACAAACTGAACGAAGAATTACTCAGTGATGGAACAGAAGAAAACGACACAGGCTTCTGGGAGTCCCTCACCAGGTACATCTTCTTATACCTTAGTGAATAGGTATAAGATTTACTAGGCTCCTTTTACTGTATATACTACATATTATGTGTATATCTGTATGTATGTATATATCTATACATATGTGTATGTATGTATATATGTATGTATGTATGTATGTATATATGTATGTATGTATATATGTGTATATATGTATTTATATATGTGTATATACGTATATGTATGTCTATATGTGTATATATATGTATATGTGCAGATGCAGTATATAAAATTGTATACAAATAATATATATTTTCTTGCTTAAGAAAACTTAATATCTTTTGTAATACATATGTCCTTTTTTTATAACAGGTACAAATGTTTCAAATAATCTCTCAGTTTGTTTTTGTCTTTCAGAGGATTTACGGGTGGAGGGAAGGTAGAAGAAGTGAAGCAGGACAAAGATGATGTCATCAACATCTTCTCCGTGGCTTCAGGTCATCTGTACGAGAGGTTCCTCAGGTCAGTGTCAGAACCAGGGACGGAGAGAAAATGATCCAAAGTGAACGTCCTTACTTTTGATGAGAATTAAGAATAAATTGATTTTTAGTGTTTGTTTTCTTCTCACCACTCTTTCTACCCTTAATTCCATCCGTTGTCTTTTTTTTTTTTAACTCTCCAGGATCATGATGCTGTCAGTTCGGAAACACACTAACACTCCTGTCAAGTTCTGGTTCCTCAAGAACTACCTGTCCCCAACCTTCAAGGTAAGAATTTTCTACCTTTATTATGTTTTTCTCCTCGGTGTTTTCTTTAAAAATCATCTTTGGCAGCACATTATTGATTTTTCTCTGATGACAGCAGCTTTTTTCTCCCCTTTTCAAACGTGAGATGTGAAAATGAAGGTGAAGGCTGCAGCAGTGTGTTTTTAAAGCTGCAGTGGAACAAGAAAATCACCTGAAATATCAACAGCCTTTTCACGGTCTCATCTATAATCATCATCATCATCATCATTGATGAATTGATGTTTTTTCCCCCACATTTTCTCTTGTTCAGTCTAATTATCCTCCAGATATGTATGTGTTTTGAATTTTTTCCCTCTTATTTAAAGAGAAAAAAAAGAAAATGAAAAGGTTTCATAACTCGCCCTCTGTCACACACTGCTGTTACCTGAAAGCTTTCAGCAGATGCCGCAGCTTCAAGTGTTTCCTTGAATATTTATGTAACGACAACTCAGCTTCACAGAGTTTTTCTTCTCTCGACTCGGTGGCGTTCAACTATGCGTCCAACTCGAGTTTCTTACATTTTCACGTCTAATTCTGAAAGGACAAGTCAACATTTGTGTAAATGTGTTAGAATCACATCAAAACACCAGCTAATTATTTTCCTCTCTAAGAACTCATGCAAAGACAACAATGAGGCTCATTTATCGTGAGCGTCTGAATTGAATTCATTCTCTTGTGCTTATTGAACAGCTGAAAGAGAAATCACTCAATCAGACTTGAGTTCCAGTCCAATCAGATGCCAGGAAACATTTTAATAGTTTATCAAGGAACATAAACAAAGATGTGAATATAAAAACATAATTATACCATATTTCATTATGTTGCAGTTTCCCTGTTTCAGGCTTAGAAATACATTGACATCATTCACATGTTTTTAATTAAGAGTTACTTTTTTTACCCTCTGTTTTTCACAGTAGTAAAAATTGTATCATGGATTTTGAATTTTCAATGAACCAAAATAATAATTCATTTGACAGGCAAGGCAAGACAAACGTAAAATATGTTCACTGATAATCTTAAGATCACCTTAAGAATGATAAGTGACAAAACCTTATAAAGTAGCCCATCGAAAGCCAATTGTAACATGAGGAAGCGCTGCAGGTTTGAAAACAGTCACACTGACGGATGTGGACGTTTGTATCAGGAGTTCATCCCCCACATGGCGAAGGAGTACGGCTTCCAGTACGAGCTGGTTCAGTACAAGTGGCCTCGTTGGTTACACCAACAGACGGAGAAGCAGAGGATCATCTGGGGGTACAAGATCCTGTTTCTGGACGTCCTCTTTCCTCTGGCCGTGGACAAGATCCTGTTTGTGGATGCCGACCAGGTGAGACTGATACTGTTTATAATAAAAGGCTTAGTTGAAACCTTGTCTAATCCTCGTCCTCCTCCCTTTCAGATTGTGCGAACAGACCTGAAGGAGCTCCGTGACCTGGACCTGGAAGGAGCTCCCTACGGTTACACTCCGTTCTGCGAAAGCCGCAGGGAGATGGACGGGTACCGTTTCTGGAAGTCTGGATACTGGGCCAGTCATCTGGCTGGACGCAAGTATCACATCAGGTACACACAGTTGAACACTGCTCAGACACACACACACACACACACACACACACACACTCAACAACACTCAGCATCTGTATTTGATGCTCTCTAGTGCCCTCTACGTGGTCGACCTGAAGAAATTCAGGAAAATAGCAGCAGGAGATCGACTCAGAGGACAGTACCAGGGTCTGAGCCAAGACCCTAACAGTCTGTCTAATCTGGACCAGGTCTGTTCTCACCCTGTCTTTGTTTGTTGTTTCCCCCAAAGGTTTTGTTTTTACCCTGATGATAATTTGTTTCCAGTAGTTTGTGTGCATGATTTATAATCCTTTGTCTTCAGTTTAAAAATATCTTTATCAAATTTACCACCATGTTCTGACATGAGTGCCACGAGAAACTACATGAAGGCAGTAACCGTCTAAAGTCCCACAGATGGTGAATGAATGGTCTTCTCTGTTGTTTGTCTGTTTGATCAGGATCTGCCCAACAACATGATCCACCAGGTTCCCATCAAGTCTCTGCCTCAGGACTGGCTCTGGTGTGAGACCTGGTGTGACAACAGCTCCAAGAAGAACGCCAAGACCATCGACCTGGTAAGAACGTCCGACTGATGGAAAGGAGTCGTCTACTTAAACACTGTCAAGGTTTCAGAGTCAGAACATCAGTGCTCCAAGTGTTCTGTCTCTTAAAGGGCACTAGAGGGCGACAAGAGGACAGAAAATGATTAGTAGTAGATTTTAGATTATTATTATTATACTGTGGAATTTTTGAGTTAAGTAAATGTAAAGTAAGACATTTAACTAAAGTGTCATGAATCCCACCTTAATAGATTTCCTTTTCCCTTCTCTTCCTTCACACACTTTTCTCCAGGTCAAACTAAAGCACTTTTTAGCATTTTCTAGGTACATTTTTTGGACATTTTCAAACACTTTTTTTTTATTTCAGTAACTATTATCAATATTTTCGAGTCATTATGACCTTCTCTAGCTATCAATGTGACACATAAATTAATGAAAGGGTTTGAAAAAATGGTGAGTTTTTGAAGCTCCAGGCACTTTTCATTTAGACTTTTTTTCCATCCCAAAAACGATCGATCGACTGTTCTTTAGCGCTTTATTAAACTTCTAAAATGGTTTATTTAAATGGCAGCACTTTCAAGGATTTTAGACGACAGGTTTACTTTTTTTTCTATGTACTTTATCATTTCATAAACGTATGCAGATCCAAAAGTTCCGGAGTACAGATTAGAAAGTGAAACAGAGTGAGACGTGGTGTTCTCATCATGTGTCCTGGCTGTTCTGGAGGAACTACACCAAGAACATGGACATCTCAGCTGATTGTTTACTGTTTCTCTTGGTCTCAGTGTAACAACCCCATGACCAAGGAGCCCAAACTGCAGGCTGCAGTCAGGATCGTGGCAGAGTGGACGGACTATGACCAGGAGATCAAACGTCTGCAGACCAGGGTCCAGGAGGGGGCAACCCTGAGACCACAGGAGCAGCAGGGAACAGGTTCATGAACACAGCCGTCATCCATCCATCCATTCATCCATCCATTCATTGAATCATCCATCCATCCATCCATCCGTTCATTCAATCATCCATCCATCCATCCATCCGTTCATTCAATCATCCATCCATCCATCCATCCGTTCATTCAATCATCCATCCATCCATCCATCCATCCGTTCATTCAATCATCCATCCATCCATCCATCCATCCGTTCATTCAATCATCCATCCATCCATCCATCCATCCGTTCATTCAATCATCCATCCATCCATCCATCCGTTCATTCAATCATCCATCCATCATTTATATCTTGTTGTTTCAAGGTCAAGTCATCAGTGAGGGGCTGGGGTTGGCTCAGATATAGGAGACAAACGTCCATTCACTCTCAAATTCTCACCGATGACCAGTTCATAATGATCATTTAACAGAATCCTACCTTTAAAGTTTTTGGACTTTGGGAGAAAACAGTAGAAAAACCTAAACTTCAGTTTCCACCAGGGATCAAATCAGTGAACACATGCCTTACTGTATGTAGAGAGTCTCAGGGACAAGTTTAGGTTCTTTATTCTCCTAAAAGACACACGTTTATCAGGGTCACATGACGTTAGTGTTTATTATTTTGTTGAAACAACGAAGCATCTCTGTCGTCAAAGACAGGATGGGAGGGACCGTCTGTGGCCTAATGGTAAGAGGATCCTGGTTGTACTTGGACTGAGTGCTTATAATTATCGGCCGATAATCAGGTGCTCTGGCGCCCCCACTCCTATAAGATGGTCCATGATTTCCAAAAATATATAAACAAGAACTGTTGAGGGATATTTTATTACATTAATATTGTCATGTTATAATAATTCATCATTTAGATATCTGGAAAAAAAATCTATATAAATGAATAAATACAGGGTTACTTTACGTGTCCAGAGGTGTCCATGGTTTTGACCTGTGTCCTGTGTCCTCTTGTCAGACTCCCACACAGAGCTGTGAAGAGAGAGATCGTGGCGAGTCCTTGAACCAGACTCTGTTTCAAGAGTCTGTCTCTCTGTCTGTCTTCACGAAGAGAAGCTGCTCCTGGACTCTGGACACTCTGACCTCACATCACATTTGACTCACCCTCAGAAAAGAACAGCATGTGAAGGAGAACGTCAGCGGTCAGGTCCAAGGGGCTTCTCTAATTGTCTGTGTGTGTGAGAGAAAGTGAGAGAGAGCAGGTGTGAGTGAGTGAACCTTTTGAGTGAGTGAGTGAGTGAGTGAACGAACCTTTTTTTTTTCTAAATTCCTGTCTCTCGTTGATGTTTGCACTGACTGGTGTTGTTCCTGTGGTGGAGGTCTCTTTCTGGATCTTTCTGTTTTCCTGGTGGTGGGAGAAGAATTCTGCAACGTGAACTCTACGGTTCTAAACGTCTGACAGTTGGTGGCTCAGTTGTCTGACCTTTAGAACCAGAGCTGGGCCAAATAAGGACATTGACAACATCTGTGTCATAAATTAATTTATGACTGTCAACAAAAAAACCTGACGGTCACTGACTGTTATTTACTGCATAAATAAAGAGAAATTGTTTTTTTTCCCCCACAAATTTCCCTAAATCACTAGAACTCACTCCCAATCTTGGAGTGGCTACAGTGGGTCTGGAGGATCGTTGTCTAAACTATTTTCCAACCAAGTTTATTTTATTTCACCAAAGCAGATGAAATAAATAATTGACCAGATGTAGGGACTGTTTTCATCACATCAGTGTCTGACTGTTTTTAATAGTTAGAATACTGACACAAGAAATCTGCATTTAAAAGGATTTTTTTTCTCTGGCAGAAACACAGGACAAAAAAAATGCATAAAAACAAATCACTTAAACTGAACACCACATGTTACACAGGAAGTGTTTGGACCTGGGGGTTCTTCAGCGGTGATAAAAACCTGTACTGTAGTTTGAAAGCTAACGGCTCATTTACTGTCTCCTCTGTGGCTTTTCCTTCTTGTTAAGAAGCCCCCCCAAAAGACTTTTTCTGTCGGGGGGGTTTGTTGAATCTGGTCCCTGTTTGTGTTGTTGCTTAAATCATCTTTTGCACTGATGATTACTAAAATGCTGATTTTTTTTTTTAATAATTTCTCAGCCAAGTACAAATGAGCCACAGCTCTGACACAGGTCTTTGGCCAGTGGTTAGAGACGTCTACTCTGAATGGTTCTGATGACATTTTTAAAGACAAATGCTACATTACTAAAATGCTGAAGATTATCAGTCATCAAGGTCATTTTATCCAAAAATTGTTACATCAAGGTCAACTGAGTAGGTTTTTTTTTTGGAATCTCTCATCCAAGAGGCTTCTTCAGTTCTGGAAGCCTCTTGGATGAGAGGTGAAACGTCTTCAAGAAACCTACTCTGTCCAGTTGCCCTCGATGTAACTATTTTTGGCTACAGTTAATACTTTCCCTAATAAATTGGCATGAATATTTAAAAATTGAATGACTTACTGATGCTTTTTTTAACTTTCTTTAGCTGCAGAAACTTCCTGATCTTAGACTCTCATTGAGCCGTGTTTAAACCCTGTACGAGTTAAAAGCCTGAGAGTTTGTTCATCTGAGATCATCAAACTGTAAAAGGGATAAAATGCAGTGGAGATCATTTGAGTTTTCTGCTGCTCCGTTCTTTACGCTGCTGTTTTAGCTGCTGTGTCATGTTGGTAAAAAGCTCTGTGTATTTTCATAAATGTATTTGACATAATACTCCTCAGCCCTTTGGTATGTGTGTATTTGACATTCTGAACTGGGGACAGGAATAAAAGTTTTCATACGGTGAAAAGTGATGGATTTATGGGAAAAACTGTCCTAATTACTAGGTTTGGAAATATCTATGACAGATATTAGCTATGCCCATATCCCTTAGCTGTTAAGCTTTTTTTCCACACTAACAGGTAAGTTGTTTTGTTATTGAACCTGGCACTAAATTGAATTTAACTCCTTGTTGCTAAAGTACTGTATTTAAAAACTAAAGTTGTTAAAGGTTTCAGACTTTTATTGTGTTCCATTTGAAAAAAATGTTTTACAAAAAAAGGTAACATTCATTTTTTACACCAAATTTTCCATTAAAAAAATCACTTAAAATAAAGGTTTTGATACATCAAATTGCGTTAACTAACGTAATGGCTTCTATAAACAATGTGAAAAACAAAGATAATATACATGTAGATGACTGCTACAAACAGGAGAGGATTACATTAATTAAAATTTTAAAATACACACAAAAATTTAACAATGGCATGATTGTTTCTCCATCGAGTGACATCTGGGTTTTAATCAAATGAATCCGACATCAGCTGGAACCATATGGAATGTTCCATGACTAAAATGCCCACAAACGGGGGACTGGGCAATCGATTGCATCTGTGTCTGCGATTTATTTCCTCTGTCACAAGTTGCTTTTCCTGCAGGAAACCTGATGTGACCCACAGCTGGGGTCACCATTCCAGAGCATTGATTCAGATGACACCCAAGGTTGGCAAAAGGACACGTAAGGGGGAAAAAAAAGTACAAAGCAAATGTACAACAAAAATAATGCAAAAGGAATAAGAAAAAAAATAAAAAAAACAAATGCGTAGATGAGGACGAGCAGAGACGTTCGGTTCACACCGAGCAGACGCTGGAAGAAGTTGCCCCTTTTTCTCAGCAGCTTCACCCACCAGACGGAGATACAACAGCTGCAGACCAGAAACGGTGGCACTGTCGCCCTCTTCTGGCTGTAGCTGAAACTCCTGCTCTGTTTGAAACAGCAGCAACGTCTTGTTCTTGGCAGTGAACCCATGTATTGGAGGCATCGAATTGCGGACCGTGACATCAACATCCTGTTTCTGTTCTATGGTCTGTTGATGGTAAGTAACCAAATCCACCTTCAGGCCACACCTTTAAAGCTTCCCAAACTGTGGTAACTGTGCAAAAACAATATTTCCTAAAAGACCCCAGTCTATCTCAGATAATCATAAAGAGTCGCGTGTTAGACTACAAATATCTGTGACACAGTTGAGGTGGATACGAGTTCCCCTAAGAAACAGTGGAAGTTTATCTGGTGCATTCATATGGTGACGTCAAAATTTTATATACAGTGTGTGAATAATGCGTTAAAATACTTGACTTACAACGTGTTACGTTCATTAATACACCTGGCAGTTACTACGAGTTGAGGGTGACCTCTAGTGGTCTATGACTAAATATCTATAACAAACTTTCCAGGTGTCCAGCACATTTACACTACTGTCCGCAATATAATCAGTCCACGCTAACTGATTGCATTCAGATATGGCTAAAACAAATTCAAACATGTTTAACTGAGCGTGACAAGTCAGATCTGGTCTGTTCCCCTCACACGCTGTCTGATTTTATACTAACTTGCCCTGTTTACGGTCCCAAACTGTTGCAGACTTTGTCCAACCGGGAATCCTAGTTAAAATCTGACCAATGATCTTGTAGCGTGTCCTTAGCGGTGGAGGTAGGATTTGGCTCTCTGTTCAGGTTTTAGATGAGGAGTCCTGTGCATGGAGTCAGCACCTGTGTAAAACCTGGCCTTAAAAAGCGGGGACTCTCACGTTGAGGCTAAGCTAAAGGGCTGTTTGTGGCAAACATGTAGCACTTCTCTGATCTGACTTCCTCAAACCCAGGTTTCAGTTCAACGCAGACGTTTGTGCTGCTTCAAACAGAGCGACAGATTTAGTCTGAACTGTTCTCAGGCAGTTTAAACAATCCCAGAGAGGTTCCATCCTTCCTTTCCAAAAACAAAACTCCTCAACATCATTATTGTCTGTGTTTGATAAACACAGACATTACAACATCTGCAAAGCTTTAAAAAAACACATGCACCTCCAGCATTTTATACAAGAGTATGATACAAAATAAGGCATTTTCATTGAGTATTCATGTTGTGTACTGAGTGTTACCTATGTGTATGTGTACGTGTGTGTGTGTGTGTGTTACGTGTATACATAGCAACCACATTAATGTTTTTTTGCCCGCCTATAAAAAGACTGCAAAAAACAAGGTCATGATAATTCTTACTTAAAATATATATATTTGTCATATATATTTACGTATATATATATTCATTATGTAAAAAAAGGGAAGAGAAAAGGCCAAGAGTCCCTGTTAAAAGTCAGTTCACAAAAACAACAATCCACTGCACCCTGTTCTTTACCCTCTCACTCCAGCACCTCACCCGGCGCCACAGTGACCAGCTGCAGAGGAATCTCCTGATTGGCTACGAGGTCATTGGGGGCCGTCTGCAGGATAAGCGTGGTTCCGTCGGCGGTGATGACGGTGTCGGTGATGGGCGGGGATGCGGCTGGAGGAACCGTGCCTTTTTTGTTTTGGTGAGTCTTTATGTGCTTGGCCAGGTGGTCGCTCCTCATGAACCTCTTGGAGCACTCTGTGCACACAAACTTCTTCTCCCCTGTGAAAAGAGGAAGTGAGTTAGAGTCTAACTGCATCACTAAGTTTAACTACTGAAGACATGAAGTGGGTGAGAACTTTACCAAAGTGTTATAAAAAAATATATGAACCCTGAGACAATGACTAAAAACCAGGTTCACGTCACTTATAGTGATGTTGTTTCAACATCAGGCCAGAAGTAGGCAATAGTCAGTTAATGTTGAGAGACAAACATTTGCAGAATAATTTTGATTCCTGTCCTATTACAATGTATACAATATAATCCTCCTAATTATATTGTAAGGAAAATTACCATAGTCCATTGTGAAACACAAACTGAAATCCAGAACAATACAGCACTGAAGCACCAGAGGGCGACTCAGTAGGATGTGAAAGATAAACCTATGTCACATCAAGGTGTTTTAATAATATTTTCTCCACTCTTACATTTGGTCTAAAACAGAGTCAGATATGAGAAAAGCTCTCAGACAATTTCAATATCATTATATAAAAAAAAACACTAAAGATAATTTACATTGCTGTCTGACGAGTATAAAATCTGTCCAAATGTCACATTATCTACAAAACAATGAAAATCTCCATCAATTGATACATGTTTTATGTTCTAGTCTGGAAAGTTAGGGCTTTTGTAAAAGTGTCAGACTGATCTCATTCATCATTCAGCACGTCTGTGTTTTACTGACTGACCTTTTTACATAATAAAACAGCAACTGTTTGACTGATCAATTATTTAGTTATTCTAAAGATATTCTTAGGAGTAACAACAGTGCAGTTTTCTAAAGAAGACCAGAAAACCATGAGAGCTAATTTCTATTTGTCTGAGAATGGTCTGATATTCTATTATTAAATACAGGAGATGAAAACTACTGTGAGCTGTTCTCTGACCTGTGTGTGTCCTCCTGTGTCTCTGCAGCTCGTCACTCCTGGTGAACCTCTTCCCACAGAACATCCAGTTGCAGACAAACGGTCTCTCTCCGCTGTGCCAGCGCAGGTGAGCTCGCAGGTGAGACGTCTTCCCGTAGACCTTTCCACAGTCGGCGATGTGGCAGATGTGCTGCTTCTTCTTGCCCATGCCTGAACCTCTGTGGCAACAACACAAGGAAATGAGGAGTGAGTGTTTAAAGAGGGAAAGTCAAGCCTCACACCAGGGTAAACTGACTCTGGATTAGGTTAAATGAATATAATGTTTTTCTGTTCCACACCTTCCTCCAGACTCTTTACAGTTAGGACAGGTACAGGCCACTCGGCGCAGCCTCTTGCCCTCCCCACTAGGTGTCTCCATATCCTCATCTACCATCTGAACACGTAGGTTATTTAGATCACTGGGGTTTAGGGTGGAATCTCCGCTCAGTTGCCAATCCTCAGAGTCTGGCTCTTCTTTTATGTGTATGCCTGAAACACCATGATGAAAACACTGGGATTAGGATCCACAGAATCACACATGTGAAAGTTAAAGATATGGAGGCAGGTTCCGTACCAACTGGACTGCTCGTGTCCTCTCCCTGTGTGTACTGAATTCCGGCCTGTGTCACAGAGTTGACTGTGACAGTTTGGAGGTTAGGAAGGCTGACTTGACCTGCCTGACCGAGAGGAAGGGTCTGAACGGGAGCTAAGGTCAACTGCTGGGCCTGACCCTGGCCCTGAGGCAGCTGGAGCCCCTGGAGTGACTGGACACCTTGGACCTGGCACGATAGAAAATATAATTTAGTCTTGTTATTCCTAGCACCACATATCATAGTTATCTGGTGCTTTGTATGCTCACCTGGAAGGTCTGCCACTGGATCTGTCCTGTGGCGGTAACAGTTTGAGCCTGGATGAGGAAGGTCCCAGGGTTGACCAACTGAACACTCTGTAGAGTCTGACCAGCTCCACTCATGTCATGACCCTGGGCCACCTGGCCAACCTGGGCATGAGTGTCTCCAGACAGCTGCAGGATGGGCTGTGAGATGGTGGTGGCGTTAGCTGACGACACCTGTGAGACAACAGAGAAAACAACAGGTTTACATAATGGCAGGAAATGAGTCTACGGTCGTTTGACTCTGACAGAGCTGTGGGCTTGAATCTGAAACCTTTTAACAGCTGGCTAGTTTTTAGAATCTGCATGAGTGCACCTGAATGCACCATTGAAAGGCTCACCAACACAGTAACAGGATGAGCCTGTTGTGGTGACTCAGTTCACCCCTAAACATGTATTTCAGACCAGCAGTAACTTCTCCTTTTAGCTGTTCCCTTCACGGGTCACCACAGTGGGCACACACACTCACACACAGTCCTACACACAGTTCATGTCCTCCTCCCAGGGATAATATTTCTCTGGTTCAGCTTTATCTCCAACCTCTGTGGTCTAATATCTCCATCATCTCTCCTACAGCCAGTAAGGCTGAATATTATGTTCACAACAACTGATGTTTGGACACCAAACCCTGAACAATGAAGTGACTCATTTGTTTTGACATCTATGGCCTCAAGTACTGACTTTTAGATAAGATCATTTGACTAACAGTCTTTAAAATACCAACCAGATATTGGTTCATAAAACAGAAGTGTACGAGTCTGGGTCACAGCAATAAAGAGAATTCTTAAACTTCTCTCCAAAATGTCTACCTGTATTTGCTGCAGCTGGTTTTGGGAAGTGAAGTTTCCTGATGAGGAGGGGTCAGACATTCCCGCAGACACGGCAGTGGCCTGGGTCAGGACACCGGTGCCATCTATGGTTGCAGGAAGGTGGGAGGCGTTGGAAGAAGAAACAGTGGTGGAGGTTGGCACGTAGAGCTCCTGGTTGGCATTGCTCACAGTCACCAGTGACTGTTTGACTGTGTCCTGACCCTGTGTGTCCAGAGTCTGGCCACTCATGATCAGCTGACCCTCAGCCGTCACCCCGGTTGCGATGGGTACTGTCTGTGCTCCTGTGAGTCCCAGTGACTCCAGATCCACACTGTTTATTGGGACAAATGTAATGTTGCCTGGCAGACCCACGGGTACCGTACTGGTGTACGCTGCTCCACCAGTCAGTGAGACTCCTTGGATTGACTGCATGTGCCCTGCCTGTGTCAGGAGGTCTGTGGTCGCCGTTGTCCCAATGCTGACCTGACTGCCATCTTGGAGGAGCTGGATCTGCCCTGTGCCGTCATCCATTCCCTGCGTTGTGAATCCAGCAAGAGTCCCATCTGCATTCTGAATCTGAGGGATGACCTGGATGAGGGGAATACCAGACGTGAGTAAAGTCTTCATTGAAAAACTGAGTACACTGGGAGGCTGCAGTTATTATGTTAACACAAATGAGGGCAATGAGTAGGAATTAAACAGCAGAAGGCTGTGAAGCCACTGACACAAAGATGCCATCTGCTTGCGGTTTCCTGATGGAAATATATGAAGTTTTGTGGATTTATCAACTAAAATGATAACTTTCACAGCTTGTTATTACATCACAAATTCCATTTGTCTTTGTTTGAGTTAACGTCTCAAAGTCTCACTTGGGCTGTGTAGTTTGATAGAAACTGAATCCAACAGTAATTCATTTTAATTTAATTTTTTGGTCTGTATTGTCATCATACAACAAAACTGAGCCTCTGCTTTTAACCCATCACCAAGGTGAGCAGTGGGCAGCTTTGAGCGCCCGGGGAGCAGATCACTCTACCAGTGATACTGTTGTCATTGTTTACATCACAAGGCCAGTGTTAACATATGAAAAAAAACAGTAGTGGAATTACTTTAGGGTAAAGACCTTCAAAACCAGTTCACCCTGGCAAACAAGTAACAAGCAAACATTATCTGTTGTGTATTTGTTTTCAACTAGTCTCTTACTACATATTTTACTGTAGTGCAAAAAGAATGCTGTTAAACATTTATTGTTGTTTAACCTATTGTACAACTTGTAGTACCACAGAACAAGAAAAAACATAAGACAGACATTTCTACCTGCAGCCCATGAGTGATAAAGACACAATAGAATGGATCAATTAAGTATTTCTGACAGCAGCCTGAAGTCAGCATTGCTTATTCTACCGTAAAACTGCACGACTGATCCAATACAAAGGACCTTAAGAGTTGTCCGTGGCTCAGAGGCCAAGGTTTGCAGGCCCCAGGTCTAAATGTTGCAACCGTACTAGTAATTAATCTGTGTATTGAAGCAAGTAATAAGCAGCATATTTTGAAAGTCAAAAAATAAGATTACACACTTGACTTAATGCTACAGTTACCTTTAAAAGATCAGAGAATTTTGCTAAAATTATACAAACATAAAACATGTGCAGGTTAAATATTTAATAGTTAAAACCTGCTAAACAGCTGAAACATGAGAGAATATCTGTACCTGTAGGAGATCAAGTCATCATTGTCATATATCAGTAAGTCAAAACAGTATTTGTTGTTTATGTATCATTAGAGGGTATTGTTTGGTACAAAACTACATCTGCAGTAGGCCTAATATGGTACCAAAATCACCTCCTCACATCTGGACTTTAAAACAGAGCATTCGTAATTTCTTTACCTGGTACTGAATTCCTGACACTCCATTGGCTGAAGCCTCATTCCCAGATGCTGTAACATATATAGGCTGATTAGGAAGACTCCCAATAGGAAGTACGTATTGACCGTTAGACGTGACGATCCCCGAGTTTGGAATGTGGACAATTCCCTGGTCATCCTTCCCAGTTGAGACGGAAGTTAACACCTCCCATCGGTCTGATCCCGTCAGCTGGATGGCTGACATGTCCGTTGTCTGAGAATAAAATCAACACATCTGATTAATGAAGGCAGATCTAACTTCAACAGGGGTCACAGCAGGGTTAGCTATGGTGAAGGAGCCTGTTTTTGTAAATTTGTATAAAGAACAAATTATATTATTTGTTGGGGGATGTTTTTGGTACTGTGTTTTAAATGTGTTCTCTGTTCATCACGATTGAATGGTTCTGACACCAGTGGTGCCACCGCCACTGTGGCACTAAGAGCTATAATTTTAAATCCACTTTTAGCTGCCAGATCATTAAGAATGAGGCACATCTAAATTTGTTCAGAATTAAATTTAGGTGAAGAAACCGAACAAAAGGCCAGAGCCTTCTGTCAATGTTCTACTGTCATGTGATTCATATATGTTAGCTTTTGAACAGACATATCCAATCTTTTTTTATTTCTTAAGTAGAGCCATACTAGATACGTTCCAACTGCCCATACTAAAACATAAAACCAGTTCCACTGACTAGCCCAGGGCTAAATGTCGGACATGCCTTGTTTTAAAAGATGTTTACAGATACACAATCCATCCAGACATGTACACAATATTGTTCCACAATAAAAATTAACGATTTAAAACATAAAATCATTAAATAGGTGAATAATTTGTATAACTTAGATTATTCTAGATTAGTAAATACTCCATAGAGTCCAAAAACTAGTCCATGCAGACAAACTAAACCCTCCTGTGCTTGGACATTAATGTTTTGGTGAAACACATGATGTCACACCATTGAACTTTGTGCTAAATCCTACATAAGGTGCCCCTAGACATACATAAAATGACTGAAACTACAGGAACATTTCCGGGCTCCTTGTAGACTGTGTTGGCTCGACACCAAGATTACATCATCTACATAAAATATTAAATATTTCCCCTTTTACTCTTTTCCTGAAAAAATGCAATTCACTCCAATCCTTTCAGTGCGACTGCTTTTCATTAGGACAATACAGTATACTATGTCCTTCCCACCTAGGCTTCAGCTTAGTGTGGGGGATGGGTGGCTATTCGAACAGAAACGAAGCCCACTGTTTTGGTTATGGAGGCTACTCCCTGGTACATTATCAACAATTAAATCATCCAACGAGCCCAAGGTGGAGCGGCTATCTTCCAGCGAGCCGACCCAAGTGACTGACTTCAGTGTCCTACCCACTATGGGCGGGTTTTACAGGGGTAAAGTGGGTGGCCGTTATTGAGGGGAACACAGGAAGTGTACTGCTTTCACCCCATGCCATCAAATTTTAAAACGTGTGAACTTCATGCTCTGAAAAAACACAACACAACACGCGTAGTCGAAGGCGAGTGAGAGAGACGACCTAGAAAATGTCGGATACCTGTGTTTCCGCAGCGCCGCCGGATTGCAGGAACTCGCTTTGACTGCTGTCCACGTCCGCGGACGCCATTTCTCCTTGTTTGAGCGGCTGCTCGGGCGCTAGCAGGGGCAGAGGAAGAAACTCGGCAAAACTCTGTAGTCTTCAACTCCTGGCAGCCACAAAAGCCCGCAAAGCATCCCCACCCTCCAGTCCAAAAAGAGCCGGCTGCGAAATCCAACTTTGCAATGCAGGTTCCGGGGCGAAATTTGGGCCCAGATCCGAATGTTTAGTTTGTCAACTCCACGGTTAGCCTGGCTAGCTGGGTTAGCTCACCATATCGAGCTAGTTAGCATCGGAGCAAAGAGATAAAAAAGACGCAGCTCTTTCCTGCTGTTTTCCGGACAAACTCACCGGGTCGCTGCTGACGTCGATGCGCTAAACCGTTTACGTACCAGTCATAGTAGTACACGGGAGTCTTTTCTGAAGTACTAAACTCCGAACATGATTGTTTTATCAAAGGCGGGCTAGTGTTGATCGGTGAATTCGGGTCGATTTTTTTCTATTTTGATTGACGGTGCGGGAAACACAAAAGGGTGGGACCTAAACGCTTAGTCGTCCAATTTGCATCGCTTTGCAGGACGTCCCTCCCTTCTTCTCTGAGGCGATAGGTCGATCGTGGCGCCAGGCTCGACGTAATTGGCTGAACGCAACGTCAGTATTTTTTTTATAGGACGTGTGCTTCCTGTTTGTTATTGAGAGAAGGAATGCAGCTGCAGCCAAAGCGTAGATAATTGAAAAATACCAGCGTCTCCGCCAAAATGTACTCGTAGAGAAACGTGTACTTTAAGATAATTTTCACCTCCGTTTCGTTGTGGTAATCTAGTCTAATTCTGCCGTAACTCAAGTTTCTAAGGTTCTTGTGCAACTTTTATGTTCACCAGATGGCGTCCATTACCACACACATCTAAAACTACCACAGCCTTTTGTGAACTAGATATCCAACATTATACACTGCTCAAAAAAATAAATGGAACACTTAAACAACACAATGTAACGCCAAGTTAACCACACTTCTGTGAAATCGAACTGTCCACTTAGGCTGTGACAGACGTGACAGAGTCTGGAGACGCCGTGGAGAGCGTTCTGCTGCCTGCAACATCCTCATTGACTTGTTTAAAGGGCATTACATGAAAGTTGGATCAGCCTGTAGTGTGTTTTTCAAATTTTGAGTAGTGCAGCAAAAAACTTTGAGCTTCAAGTATTGTGAAAAATAATAAATTGATAAAAATGCTAAAACAGTTTTACCTCCATTTATTGACACGTGCAGTTGGACAAGGCATGATAATAGCGGTGCTTACTCATTTCTCAGCATCTCTATTGAGTTAACAAAGAAAGCTGGTGTTGGTGTTTGTATTTTGGTAAGTTGTTGTAAAATGGGGCAGGAAAGAGACATTTACCCTGTGGGGGCAGTGAGTGGGGGTAAGTCCAGATGCAGCACAGATGATGCTCGGCTCTCTGTTCCTGTAGTTGTGCAGATTCACAAAGAAGTATTGTCTCGTTAAGCAGAATTATAATCATAATGTAAAGAGTCTGGGTTTTTTAACGCCACAGCCAAAACAACCAAGTCAATAAAAGCAGTTGAGTGTGCAGTTTAATATCATCTGTGTTAGGGCGCCTGCATTGTTTTGTCTAAAACAAATCTGCTCAGAATACAGCGCAGCAGAGGCGCTGAGATGGAATTCACCGTCTTTGAGGAAAGTCTTATACACTGTTCAGAAAATGGTTACAGGTTTTAGAAGTTCATGTCCCAGGTACTGATGGAAAACAAAATCAGTATCCAGTAAAACATGTTGGAACTGAAAAATGTGTTGTTAACAAAAACAACTTAGTTTGTTTATAAACATTTAAAATGTGTAAAAGGTCCCAAACATGGTTTTTTTTAAAAACTAGGCAATAATTTGCATAATTTAACCATTTAGGTGAATTCAATTAGGTCTAGTTTTTAGGTAGGGCCATGCAATCGACAGTTTATTTTTCTTTCACAAGAATGTAAACAGTCTAAATTATAGTCTAAAAGTTGTAATGTAACAGCAAAAAAATATGAAATAAATTTGCAAGTATTTGGTGAAAAGTCAAATAGAAAACATTGTTGAAATGACAAATTATCTAGTTTTTTCCAGATATACATCCATTTAATTTGCTTTCTTATATTTATAATTTCAGAATTCAGATTTTTGACATTTATCTCACTAGTTCACTTATGCTCATCATTTCAACCTGATAATCACATGCTTATCAATATATTCCACTGGAGTTATTTTCAGCTATACTTTTTGTTTACATTTGCAGAGCTTCAACTGTTTCTTTTCAACTTGACATCTGCTCCTGTTCTTCCACATAGGAATGTGTGTATTTGTTTGTAAGGACAAGGTAATATAACGACTTTTCTGAAGAAATTCTGGTTCAGGTCCACGTTAATCCTCTGAGTTTATGAGACAAGTGTAAAAGCCACAGACAGTGCAGCTCTCAGGACTGAGCCGTATTCTGAGTTCTCCCTCTGGTGAGCGTGTCGTCTCTCTATTTCTTTTTGGGGGCGTTGGGTGTGTTGAATTTGAAAAAGATAATGTCCCCGTCATCCACTACGTAGTTCCTGCCCTGCTGTCTGTATTTCCCCGCAGCCTGAGAAACAGATGGTGAACATCAGGAAAAGGTAAATGACAATGTTGGCACTTTTCACTTCTGGCTGTGTGTAAAACAAATGCCCACCTTTGCTGCATTTTCACTGCCTTCCTCTTTGAAGTCGTTGAACTTCATCACCTCAGCCATGATGAAGCCTTTCTCAAAGTCGGTGTGGATCTTCCCTGCAGCCTGAGGAGCTTTGGTTCCTTTCTGTTGAGCCACAGCAGAACCATGTTTACACACCACCTCCTTCAGGACTGAGAAACGAGTACATTTTTCACCAAATTTTCAAAACCCAGCTGCACTCACCCTGACTGTCCATGCTCGCACCTCGTCTGGTCCCGCTGTAAAGAAGTATTCCAGCTGCAGAGCTGCATAGCCTGTCTTTATGATTTTGGTCAAAACACTAAAACAAGCAGAGAAAAAAGTGTGTTGTTTGCAATATTCTGGAGTCTAGTGACAAACAACCATTCACACCTATAGTCAATAGAGTGTCGATCAACCTAATTCTGTTATGAACATGTTTTTAGACTGTAGGAGGAAACTGCAGTCACAGAGAAAACTCACACACACACAGGAGTACATGCAGGCTGCATGACATTGACCGGCGTTCCAAGAAGGTAATCTATCTTAAGAATAATATTTCTCCTTTTTATTATTTTGCTAATATATTTCTCTGAACTGAACTGACGTCTCACCTCTGTGTCTTATGCTCCTCACAGTACTTTTTCCTCTCCTCCTCGTCCTCCATGTCCAGCAGTTTGGACTCCACAGCTCCACTCACTGGGATGACTATAGCACCAGGGTCGTGAACATTGATCCACTCCTTGATTTTTACCAACCTTAAATGGTAAAAAAAAGCATCTGGTGAGCTTTATGTTGACTCAACTTTATCCTTACATGTGATGTGTGTCAAGATTCAAACTCCAGCAGATGCCTACCATTTGTTCTTCTTTCTGATGTAATCTTTTTCTGAGAGGTTCACCAGGTAGATCATTGGCTTGGATGTCAGTAATAAGTGAATGTTCAGCACTTCAATCTGTGGCAAAACGGTCAATTTTTTACACACGTGTCTGAAAAGAATTTGAGTTTTAACACAGGTAATTACTCTGAGGTGGATTTCTGTGTTCTGACCTCTTTGTCGTTCCAGTCGTGGTAAAACCTGACATGTTTCTTCTCCTCCACCACCCAGTTCTTTACCTTCAACATGATGTCCTGAAACCAGAGGAAGTAGGTGAGTGTGTGGACAAAAAAAATCTACCTGAATGCTCCTCTCAGACTGACATTACTTACATATTCAGGTTTCAGTTTTTTATCTCCTCCTCTGACTGCAGTTTTCTCCAGTCTGTCGAGGACAAAGTTGATCTTCTCCTCATCTTTGAGTCTCAGCTCCTCGTGGATGATCTCGATGTCTCTCACTGGGTCGACGTTGCCCTCCACATGGATGATGTCCTCATCATCAAAAGCTCCTACAACATGAGAACACTGGCATCAGACTCCAGGTTGTAACATAGATTTACACACATTTCAAAAACAAACAAAAACTAGGGATACCTAAATGCCAATATTGGTACCACGCCCAATACCTCATTTAAATAACTTAAATAACTTACTTAAACTCAAAAAGATGTGACGATTCAGCAAGCCAATACTCCAACTTCTAAATGAGTAGAAGTCTCAATCAAGAAAACAATCAGTGTTGAAAGTCACTCTATTTACTGATAAAAATGTCAAACTATTTTGAAATGTAAAAAAAAAAGAACATCTTAAAATGATGCCCTTGGTTTTACTAATGTTTATTTAAATTTTCAAATTAAACAAATGAAGTTGGGTACTTTTAACATAAAGACATCACATAAAAATTGTTATTTAAATTTTTAAAAATGCAACAAAACAAGTCTTTGAGGACTGAAATACATGAACTGACACCTAGGACTCCAATTAGCCTCGGCATGAACTGGTAAAGAGTCAAGAGAGTTTCCCTTTTTAACTTCGAGTATTGTGACTGACCCCACTCCCTTCTCCCCGCCCCCGTCAGATGTCCAAACCACACAGCAACAGCTGCTGCGTGCAGCAGTGACAACTTACGTGTCATGTGGAAAATGCCGTCACAGGCACTGATGTGAGAGAGGAAGGCATTTCCAAGACCTTGTCCAGCGTGGGCTCCCTTCACCAGACCAGCAATGTCCACAACATTTAAGAAGGCGGGGACTTTACTGCAGAAATACAGCAAAAAGGAATTTGTCAGTGAGATGCCATGATCGTATCATTCAGGGCCGTTATTGAAAGTTTTAAGAAATTAAACCACATATAGATCAATCTCAGTCAACTGTGTTGGTGAACACAATACTGCTGTACTATAACACATCACTTCAGTGTAAATAATCCCACTCTGAAACGTTGGTAACTTTTCTGCCTGCAAGGCAACTTCTTGTCTTGGAGTCTGAAGTCTTTATACAATGGTGAAAAGCTCACACACAAAGTGTGAAGTGACAGTAGGAATGAGTAAAAACCAAATGCAGACACTGAAGTCTAAAAAATGTTTACTTGAGTGTGCACTGTGGACAAACAGACAGCTGCTATTTAAATGTATGTTATTGATAATAGGTTTGAAGGTTCATTCATTCACACACCTGGCTGGTTTGTGGTACTGGCAGAGGAAATCAAAACGATCATCAGGGACAGGTACTCTACTCTCGTTTGGGTCGATGGTGCAGAATGGGAAGTTCTCTGCAGATGCTTGACTTTTGGTCAAGACGTTAAAGAAAGTGGATTTCCTGTAGTTGACAGAGGGACAGAATAAACCAACGATCGGCCTCAAATCTGTATAACGATCAACAATATTTACAAAACTACGTTTTAGCAAAAACTACGTACCCAACGTTTGGTAATCCAACGATTCCAATCTTGAGAGATGTACCAAATCGTCCGATTAAAGGGGGAGCTGTCGGTGCTTCTGCCTTCTTGGGGGGCATCTGCAAAAGTTAAAACCATTACAGCAATGTCAGTATAACACGCGGCAGCCGTGGTTCTGTGCACAATCACCAGTTTCTCTGCAGCTACTCTAAAAACGTGTCCAGACTCTCCTGTGCTCATTTAAACACAGCATGTTAGCATTAGCTTCAGGTTATCCTGGATCGCGTTAAGCCAGGGCATATTTAACAAAGACAGAGTGTAGTATGCCTTTTCGTTAGATTCGAACAGATGGAGAGTTAATAAACTATATAACATACTGAGCCAGTACCTTTATATGTGTTTTTCGGATTTTAGGTTAGGTGGGGTCCACGTTACTACTATCGCCACACCGGCCGCTCGACTGGAAAGACAAGCTGCTGATCAAAGCGGAAGTGTTTTGTCGTTGCTGTTCTGTGATTGGTCAATGAAAGAAATGGCTAAGGGCAAGTTAGAGGTATGTGAAATACGTCAAACACATTTAAGTTTAAATTCAAACTTACTAACCCACTTTATAACCTTCTCTTTGTATAATGTAATTTTATTAATGCAAGGACATAATAATTTCGTTTTACCCTATTTATCCGTTAGGCCGCAGGGTGTCGCCCTTATGTCAATTACTTTCAAGCATCCGCGTCACACGGATGCTGTTTTTTTTACAGTATAAATGTCTAAATCAAGTTATTTACATTTTTTCTACGACGACTAGTTATAATCGGGGCAAAATTAATTAAAATAAATTAATTTACAATGAATTGATTCAAACGGGTTTCTGTGATTCAGACTGTGACTTAAAACCCTGTGTTTTACGCTGTAATGTTGATTTTTTTTTTTGTCTTTTTGTCATTTCGCGGCATATGCAAGTGTGCAGATCAATCAGATCAACAGAATAAGATAGTTTGACTACGCATTTGCAAGAAAATGTTGGGGAAAATATTTGAAATAAAAATGGGTGACTTCCCGTTTGGTATAGGACATTATTAGAAGGCTATTAATGTTGGGGTTACTACTCAGTTTGAAAATGAAACTCAGACATTTTGAGAAGCCGGTCTTATTGAAATATCCCCGACTGACAGTTGTATGTTTAAGCCAAGTAATTTACTTAATCCAATCTGTCTTTGTACCACTAGAGGGAGCCCGAATAACACCACTTGTAGCGGTGTCGTGGTTTGCGACACACTGCCATAAAGGGTTACTTCAGTATCTGCAGTGGGCCTTTGTGATGTTTTGCATCTCCTCGTAATGTACACTAGGTGGTGTGGTCTACCAAGGTCGCCGTTGAGCCAAAACTCAGCACCTTGGAGAGCAGCGTATAATCTTCTCCTCCAAGTGAGTTCTTGACATACCATAATATTCAGAGATACGACTTACTCATCAGGTTGATTTTTGATGATGTTAATTTGATGAATGATTATTCTTTTAGTACAAAATACACTTGGTCTATGTAATAAAAACTCATTTTAGTATTCTGCTCTTTTTTGCCTCCAAGGACTGTTAATACTGTGCCTAATACAGGCTTTTATAGCTGAGCCGTCGATGACTGTCAACACGCTGACTGACAGAAGCACAGCAGGGCCTCATACACTGCTGTATTCTCTGTTGACCTGTTTACAAGTTTGGCTTGACTGAAATTTTTATGCAGCCATGAATATATGAGTAAAGGCGGCAGAGAGAAGTGCACGCTGCGGAGCATATAAATAGGACAATATCAATAATGAATGCAGAAGAGAAAGGAATGTGTTGCAGCCAGAGTGACACGCTGCCACACACTGTCATATTTATAAACAACAAGTTAAGAGATTCCACTTTTGTGTCCGATGTAAAAAAGTATCGGGGCAGCAACTCTGCTTGACTCCTGGAATTGGGTCTCCTGTATCTGGGCCACATGGCCAGAATTAGAAGTTGTGTGTCACGTCTTCCGTCACTGTTGTAATGAGAGGTGTAAAGTTTGCCAAAGGCGCTCTTGTTGCAGATTAATTCAGGGCCATAGTGGATGGTGGAGTCCTTTAAAACCAACAGAGCAGCATATGTCTAGATTTGAACATCTACTGAAGAGAACTTACCTGGAGACGGCCTGAACTGGACAGAACCTGTGTTTAGGCTAAGATTTAGAACAGATTAAAGTACAAAAATAAAGGAAAATAATACACACAATGTCAGTGAACGTAAACCAAGGACTCTCTCACTCTCCTTAAATCTCCCTAAGCCATTCCAGTGAGTGCTGAGTGAGACGGTGACACCATTCACAACTGATTTAGCTGCTTCTTAAAGCCTTTTTCAACTTATTATAGATCATCTTTTTAGAATTCTCCAATTGTAATCGTCTTAATGCTAACTTTAAGCTTTTATGTTTTAATATATTTCAAATATATTTCCCAAGTTATTAACTAATTTTACTTATTTATATATTTAGTAAACTATTAACTTTCTTTAGCTTATGTTTTTAAATGTTTTATATCTTCAGCTTAATCTGCCCAGTTTCCTCTTTTGTCCCACAGTTTAACTTTTTGCTGCACATCATTGAAAAACCTCATCACTCATTTTCTTTTCATTTGATTCTTAAAGTGAGTTGTCTCCAAGCTTTTTTTGCTTTTCTCCACTTATCTCCACTGCATTCCATTTAAAACCATAAAATTCCTACAAAACTCGTTCTTATAATTTTTATCAAATACAGAAAACAAAATACAAACCAGTAATTTTCCCACTGTGGCACAAATAAATAAGAATGACCAAATTAGGGTCTGCCCCCCCACTTTTTGGAACCACTGCTTAAGAACATATGCATTTTCACTAATAACTTACATTGTATACAGTAAATGTTGCTGTCTGCAATGGTTTCCTTGTAGATAACGTGTCTGACTAATGGAATGTAAATTGTTAGGTACAGTATTGTCTGATGAGGCCTCCACATCAGTTGACTCACTGACTGACTCTCCTCTGAAGGCTGAAGATTGTTGCATGTGTTGAAAACCTTTCTCCTATTTCTAATAAAACCAGGTCCTGCCTGGGACTCACTGCAGCTCATCTCACTGCCAAACCATTAACAGGACGTTATAGTCACTGGGGTGGTGTGGGGGGCAGGTCAGACATTTTTTACAAGCTGAACTATTAACTAATTCAGGACACTGAGTAAATTTCTCTTGACATTTCTGTTTTGGTGCCTTGAGAAAACGACTTTCACAGTTCCACAGCTCCTGAACACAGACTCAATTATCAGTGCAGATGTTCTTATGAAGTGTCTATAATATTCAGAGGAAGAAAACGGGTGAAAGAGAGACAGTGTTGTCTGGAGGTTAACACAGCAGCAGCAGCAGCAGCAGCAGCAGCAGCTTCCAGTGTTTGGTTCTTTGGTCTGTGGCAGTGTAATGACGTGGCGCTGGCACCCCCACGGAGCCTGGAACACTTTGATCCAGTCCCAGTGATGCTTCTCTGTGTCACACAGCGTCATTGGCTGTTAAGTAAGGCAGCTGTCTCATCCATGTGTACACGTGATTTCCATCACTGTTAATGTCCAGTATTCGTGGAGTAAAGTGTTTGATCTGCTGCTGCCAGTGGTACATGTGTGTGTTAATACTTTACTAGCAGTACGTACAGCAGAGGTGTTAAAGATCACGCATATGCAGCAGTAAAACCCTTATGTAATTAAATATGGACGCCACAAGATTTTGATCAATCTGGATGAGAGGCAACTTCAGAACTGCAGCTAAGCATTCAGTAAAAGGGGAAAGGGAAAGAAAATACATCTATCATATGAGCTTATGCTTCAAGCCCTCTATGTGTACTGTATGTGGTGTTAAAGGATTTGGCAAAAATCACCTTTCATTATTTTTTTTTTTAATATACAGGCGAATGGTAAACTCTAGCTGTGATTGTTAAATTACTTTACTCTGACAACAGAGTACTCTGGACACTGACTGGGAATAAATCTGGATTTCCAGAAACGTTGAGCAAACCTTAAGTGAATGATACATTTTTATTCAGTGACAATGGGTTGGTGTGGTGGGGGTCGAGCTGGGGGTCAAGCCATTACATGAAGGACTCTCTTATCTGTGCTTCAGATAGTTCATCATGACATTAGGGGTTTTTGTCCTGCTGCAAAATAAACGAGGCTCCAGTTAGACACCTCCCTGATGGTAGTGCATTATAGATAGAAAACTGCTTGTATTTGCCATTTATCCTGAACAAATTACCAAATCCATCAACTCTAGCCCCAAACTCTACACGTTTACTGTTACCTGCAGCGTTTGTCCTTTGGTTGGATTATTACTCATTATGGCCCATTTGTCATGTGGGGAAGTGAACCAAGAACTGTGCTGCGTTACAGTTTAAATTGGAAAAAAAGACGACAAGAGCATAAAAATATTTCATTTACTCAAAACAAAAAGGTATTTTTAAATGCTCTAGAGTATTTGTTCAACCTGTAGTACTTAACTCATATAGTGCATATACTGTAATAGGCTGCAAATAGCTTTTTACACTCAAACAAACTACAGTACCGTATTACTTAATGTCATTAGGCTTCTACAGTCATTTAGGTAAAGGACTGATGTAAACAGCCAATCAACACAACAGAAGCAAACACATCTACTGTTCCTAATGCTGTACTGCATATTATCTGAATACCAAATATTATTCGCTATCCATACATTTGTAAAGTCTACTGCATGTGTACTCATATAATATATGTGAATTTTACATGTCAAAAACAGACGACTAATTTATAAAAGATACAAATTTGAAAGCTAGTTTTACTACGGAACATAAAACCTAAAATAAATGTATCAAGAGGATAGAAATTAAAATGTGGCACTTGAGCGCCCTCTGCTACATTCATCAGTACACTAAAATGGCAGTATTTTTCGTAAAAAAAACCAACAAAAAGCTTATGTAAAATGTAAGAAGTTTAAAACAGTACCTTAAGAGACAAAGCATAGCTCAGAAATAGCTAAAATCCTGTCAAGATAGCCTCAAACCTTCTTTATGATGTGTCTAGATGTTAGCCTAACTAGCTAGACTTAGCTAGTTAGTTAGGCTAACTTGAAACATGGTTTTCCCTTTAAAAAATTTAAATAAATAGCCTGGAAATTAACAAAAAATACATTCAAAACAATATGATTCTGGGACAAAGATAGACATAAATAATAATAATATAAAATAATCACTGAAATACACATACACACAAGTTTGTGCAACACAGATTTGTGGAAATAAATACAGACTTTTGATGATATTGTAAATCTACCATCACATTTAAAAATGCTATATTTTTAATGTTTAGGTTTGAGGATAAAACCACACTTGACTGTTACAGTATTTTTTGTTGTTTTGTTTGAAGACGCTGGCTTTTTAATTTTTTTTTATGTGCTAAGCTAACTGTAGCAAGATGTAGATTAAGGTTTACTGGATAATAAATACAATATATATAATAACAATATTAATAATAATATCCATCCATCCATCCATTTTCAACCACTTATCCGTTACTGGGTCAGCAGTCGCCACCCAACTCACACTGCCCTGTACCAACCCCCCCCCCACCCTTCCTTCAGGTGGTCAGTCCACTGGAAGGTACCAACCGCCCTAACCAGGATTCGAACCTCGAACTCACCCAGGAGGTGAACCCTGGGGTTCCACACCATTGACAGAGACATTGCCTCGGGGCCAAAGCACCACTTAATAATAATAATTAAATAATAATAGTAATAAAATAATTTCTCCAGTGTCAGTATGATTCTTGTAAATGCTCTGCTTCTTAAAAAGACACAAATTACATAATGTGATGATTAAAACCAATTGTACTACAGACTTCAAAATGTTCTCAACAGTTCTGTAGTACTTACCTACCTTTTTAAAATAAGGTTTCATGTCATTTACCTATTATTTTGCTGAATTATTTAAAAAAAAAATTTAAATTAAAGAGAACGACATGACTATTTATATTCTAGTTAGAATCCTTAAATCTTATGGCACTGTCTTGAATTGGCATCCTACATGTTAAAATGATTTTAAAATATGGCACCTTCTTGTTACCCTTTATCATGGATAACCTAAGCTACAGAGTTAAACTGCATTGTTTCTTATCAACCCATATATATGTGAACTAGTACAGTACAACTGATGTCTTTTACAGAGTGGAGGAGCTTTGTTTGTAGTCCTGGAGAATGACAGCAGCGTACGTCAAGTTGGGAGTGTTGCACAAAATTGATTCGGACATTGGTGAGTTGGAGAAAGGTCTCACTGGAGGACCAGTGCGGTCGCGGAAGGGGGAGGGAGGAGGCATAAGAGCCACAGAATCCCCCATTCCTAATTTGAGCTGGAGAAGCCCCTCCTCCTCATGAATCTGTGAGTTGTTGTACATGTAGCCCTGAAGGAGGCCAAACTGCTCACTGTCCATTCCATCCTCCTCCAAAGGGGAGATGGGTTCCTCGTCGTACGGGTCAAGGTCAGATTCCTGTTGGATGAGGTGAACCTGGGGGTAAACAGGCAGGCCGGTGTTTATGGCCTCAGGCATGCTCATCATATCCCCAAGCACGGGCATGTCATCTTTAAATTTACTCACCACCATCACCTCGTCCTGCAGGTGGCGTTCCATGAGGACGTGTTGTGAGAGAGCGCTGTTTTTCTGCACATGCTCGGGGGTATAAAGCTCTACCACCTCGTCCACATCTGTCATGAGCCCACGTGTGGGTATTTGGCTGTGGGCTATAATGGGAGGGGTGGTGGGGGGGTTGTACCTGACCGGCTCGGTCTCGTCCTCCTCCTCAGCCACATTGTATAAAGTCTTGGTACTGAGGTCGGAGAACTCCAGAGCCGTGTTTTGGTACGTGTTAGTTAAGGGTTTGATGACAGCCATCTGATTGGAACCTGCGTCCTGTCTCTTCACATGCACTGACAGTCTGTGCCATGTATGATCCCCTTTTGGAGGATGTCTTGCACCTGGTTCAGACCATGACACAGACTTTCCATTAGAACTATGAACAAAATAAAAACGGCTGTTACTGCACAGGAACCCAGAAATGTATGGACAAAACACAGAATTTCTGGTTCACGTTTTGATTCAGTTGATGAATAATCGATTTCAAATTATTTTTTTTAGATAACATGTAAAGGCATCTGCAGGGTCGTCATTTGAATTGAAAACTAATTTGTCTATTTTAATGATCTTTTAGGTATAATTTATCATTTTTTAAGTTCTTGGGTTCAAGCCCAGAGGAACCACATATTGTGATATAATGAAAGTATTTCTAATGTCATTGTGGCAATAATAAAGCCTTGTAGAGCTTGGATTTTTATTGATCCGAATCCTGCAGAAACCCTCGGTTCTATACCTGTCATTACATTTATCATCCATCGGCACAAAGAGATGCTCGTTTTCACCCCATCAACAGGTTAAATGTTAAGATGTCTGTGTGGATGGAGTTCTGACCTACATCCATCCATCAGACTCTACACCTGTTGAACCCATGGAAGTGATTACAGTCAGACTTCAGGTTCCCTTCGAGAAGGGACTTTGAGAAAACCAGCATCCCCGAGGAACCGAAGGAGCAAAACTCACAGACTCAATTAACGGACCCACCTGCCGTTGCCAGCGTTCTTCTTTCTCTTGAACATGTTGAGCAGGCTGTTGCTTCGACAGGCTATCTTACCATCTCCAACGTGCATGCGCACGGCATCAGAGGTAGTGAATGCGCTACGGACGTTTCGCTCAGGTTTGGCGATGATGATGTACATCTTCGGTGTGAACATGCAACCCAAAGCCACCGTGACACTTAGACTGACCGAGAAGGACGTGGTGATGATCTTGTAGTTGCTACCAAAGTAGATTGGCACGAATGCAAGCCAGATAATACAGGTGGTGTACATGGTGAAGGCGATGTATTTGGCTTCATTGAAATTGGCAGGAACATTGCGGGTTTTGAAGGCATAATATGTGCAGCTCAGGATGAGCAGGCCGTTGTAGCCCAGAGGAGCCACGACACCGAGGTTACTTGTGTTGCAGATCAGGAAGACTTCTTTAATGCTGGGGTAGGATTTTATTGGTTCCGGCGGTTCCATGATGATGAGCGTGACCTCCAAAGTGAGCTGGACACTAATGAGGATGGAGGCGATCACCACCTGAGCCCAAGCACTCATGAACCTTGGCTTCCTAGTGCAGATCTTCTTCTTGCTGCCTGCCAGAATGCGAGCAATGCGATTGGTTTTGGTCACCAAAGCAGAATAGCACATGGCGGCCGAGAGTCCGACAAGCAGCCGCTGGAGGTAGCAGGAGGCTACAGTGGGACGAGCGATGAGAGTAAAGGGACACAGGTAGCCCAGAAAGATGCCTGCTAGGATGATGTAGCTGAGCTCTCTGCTGGAGGATTTGACCACAGGGGTATCGCGGTACAGGACAAACACAAAGGCAACAAACGATGTGGCCAGGATGCCCAGGCAGGAAAAGACCACCTGGATAATAGACTCTGGGTTGCTCCACTCGAGGTAGTGTAGAGGAATTGGCTCACAGCCTGAAATTGGGGAAAAAAAGAAGTTTAAATACATAGTCATTCCTAGAAAACTTTATTCTGACCAAATATTTGAAGCCTAATATGGCCCATTTCTTGCATTAAGGACACTATCATTCAGCCCACGTATAGGTCCGTTCCTGAGTAGACCAAGCATTGCTGCAGGAAGTCCTACAGTATCGCCAGAAGAAGCCCACATTCAAACACTTATCTGGATGTCTACTCTCATTAACCATATCCTTGAGTTTTTGCACTTTTATACCATGCTTTTCTTCTAGAATCATTATCCTTGTTTATTTCCATTAACACCTCCGTCACTGTTGTTGTCCTATTGGATGATGTTTTAAGAACTTACCAAATGCATTTTATCCAGAGAAGATGCAGCAAGTAAAAAAAGTAGGTTTTTAGCTCAGCTATAAATAAACCCTTTCCTACTGAGCCATGGCCAGGCGGGGCTGTAACCATGGAATGAGGAGGGGCCACTGCAGCAGGACAGGTGTTTTATATTGATTAAAATAGGACTAGCTTTCTACTTCATGTGGACATCACGCCTTTGAATATTTGATGGAGTTCATATGTAGGACACAAAGGGTAATGTGCAGAAGAGTTCAGCAGAATTAGGTTGAAGTCATGCTTTACCTGCTGTGTTTCTTTCTAAAGTGCCTCTACAGGGTTTATAACTTTTTTTTTTCTCTAAAAAGTGTAAGTCATGGAGCACACAGACAGCATGGTGCTCCTGGGAAAGTGTCTTTGAGCAGCATGGAGGCCTTTGAAAGTGGGCCATAGGAGAGTAGTAAGTGAAGTGGGGCCATTTGATGGATAACATGGTGAAGATGATGAATGACTCTCAGATGTCATGGCCAGACCATGAAACTAGGACATAACAAATTTATGGAATAGTGCTGCAGAAATCTGGACAGGAAATTCTCTGCAGCATACAGTCGGTGGAATGAAGGCCAGGAACTCTTAATGTCAAAAAAAACATCAATCATGTGACAGGAACTCCTCCTGTGACCACTGCACGTACACAGGGTTGTCTACAATACACGATAGCATAAAACAAAGAGAGAAGCAGAAACTAAGAGGTTTCTTGTTGTGGACATATTTAAGAGATTAATATCAACAGTTATGCAGATGAAGTGCTAATTTATCATCCCGAAAAGAGATGCTATGGATTTTATCTTGCCTTAAATGCTTTAAATATTTTAAGTTGCAGGTTCAAATGCCTTGTTTATTAACTACAAATAAATTTTATTTCAGAGAAAATGTAGTTGAATTTAACAAATGAAGAAGTCACACCTTCTAATTCTACACTAGGCCACCAGCCCAGTTCACAGGCCTTGCATGTAAATTCGTCCAGAACATATTCGTTGTCCTTGCATGCAGTGCAAATCCAGCAGCAGCTCACTTCTCCCTTCCTGATCACCTGTCCAAAAAAAGCATGCAATTTCAATTTATACAATTTTAAAATGAAAAGGTATATAATTATACAGACTTAAGGCTAAATAAATCTTCAAAAGGGCATATTTTTTAATAGTGACAGCCATTACGTATTTGCTCTAATCTACTATAATTTCATAACAAACTAAAACTATTGACATATTTTCATCATGAATTAATTAAAGACAAAAATATAGTTGTTTGCCTTGATCTCTCCTTTGGAGCAGGGCTCACTGCACACAGAGCGGACCAAGTCACTGCGGTTCATCTGAATTATGTCATCATCAAGACTAAGTATTCCCTCGTGCCAAGAGCCGGCAATGATGTAGTCGTAAACACCAGGCGTCACGCGCTGGAAATTCATAATCTCATACCTGATGGTAGGGATAAAGAAGGTTAATGTCTGCTCAGGTGGAGAAAGTGGAGAAAAGAAAGTTCTCTATTTGTTTTTACCTTCCAGGTGAATCTCCGTTCTCGTCGAACCATATGTCCTCCCCAGAAACACCTGCGAAAGATGTCTTGAGAAGAAATTCCAGCAGATGGCTTCCATCCACAGGCTTCATGGCGTCACACAGCCCCACGTGGCCGGGACAGAGGTACGTGTACATGTCATGCAGCCCGTGGGCCATGGCATAAATGGCGTTGATGACAAAACCCATCTTGCTGTCTTGAACGTAGTTATCCACAAGACTTTCGTAACCTGTTTATGACACGGGAGAGTAGTGAGCCAATCACGTGCATCTGTACCTCAGTTTAATCTTCTTAACGAAGCAGCCTTACAGGTGGAGCGACGTTGCTGCAAGCGCTAGCATGTTATGCAGTCAGGATCTACTGTAACTTGTAGAACTGTCCCCTACAAATATGTCTAGCATTGTGTTACTTATTACAAAGGAGTGATAGGGTGCTCAGAAATGCATCTCTTCATTCAAACAGCAAGTGTTTCTCTGTTGGTTTGAAACTAGAAAATGGTCCCTTTTAAAAATGAGGGTTTAAAGTTTAGTTAGAGGTGCTTTAATACACTGTTCAACTTTATCTTCATTTCTTTAATATATTTCTCCTTGACCCTGAAAATGACTGAAGAAGACAACAAAAAAAGAATCTTTGTTGAAAAGGGACACGAATACAAATACACCCTATCAGTTCAGTGTAATGCAGGGTGGAAGCAGGGAGAGCAGGTTTCTTTAGCTGCCTCTATCTTTTAGCTTGATGTCTTCACTACAACATGCAGTCAACACAAACATTTTTGTTTCCTTTCTGTCTCACTTTATTTTCTACTGTACTAGTTTCTTATTTTGGTAACAACTAGGAAAAGTTGCTTTTAAATCTGAAAACTATTTGTATGAACACAACGGACATGAATTTATGTGTTGCCATTTTTTGTACTTAACTTCAAAAAGAGACAAGTACTTGAATATAAATGCTGCTTTTGCCCTTTACATGGCTTTTAGCAAATGACGCTCTAATATTTCTCAATAAAAATGTTCACGACTGATAGAAGAAGTCCAGAGCTACGGTCCCCACAAACACAGTTGTCCCTGAGGTGTGCTGTGTTAATGATGACCTGGGACCAAGAGCTAGAAGTGTGTGTAAAGGTCAGACAGACTGAGTTTCAGAGCCAAAGGTTTCAAATTTGAAGTAGTATTGTCGACAAACATAGCCATGCCCTACAGGTAAATATCGGTACTGCAACCGAGGCTGTGAATTAAAAAAATTAGAATGGGTATCCTTCTTGTTATACACTTTTTGGGTTGAGTGGTTGAGATAAGACTAGATACCAGATCGAAGACATTAAACCACAAGTATATTGCAGTTGCTCCCAGTGACGCACGGGTTCTTTGAAATTGTAATTTCAATTAGCTCACAGTCTCTATAATTACTAAGTACTGTAACTGAATGTGGCACTAGGTTGAATTGATAATATACAAACCAACAAAAGAACAGGAACAGTTCAGCTCTGTTCTCACCCTGTTCCCCATAGAAGCTGCTGGCGATGACCTAGTTTAATGGATCCTTTCGTTTGCAACTCTCACTTGCCAGACTGTATTTACTGTCTATATTTTGACCATGATGATGCAATGACGTCATAATAACAGCATGCAGAGCAGAGGACCTACAGTGGTGGGCTGCATAATCACTAAACATTCTCTGTATGATTACACTGTCATAGTGAAAGAATGGACATGGATTTTTAAAAGCAAAGTATGTTTGCTGTTATTCTCTGTCTACATGCAACTACAGCTGGATCAGCCAGTCAGAGTCGTATTCAAATGTTATTGGGCTGTTTTACACAACTGCCTTAAAGCTAAATCAATGGAATAAATGTAGATTAAAATGAAGGTGTTTTTAATAAAACATAAAATAAAAAAAACACCCCAATAGCTTCATATATTAGAGGTTGACTGAGATCAACAACAACAATGATTATGTTAATAAAAACCTTAAAACGTCATGGTAGGGCTGTCAAACAATTATAATTTTTGATCTGATTATTGACTGATTATAAGACAAATAAAATGTTTATAATCCTGGAATTATAAAAAAAAGGAAAGATATCAAGAAATATGCGTAAAACTATAACATAAAACTTAGCTTCAAAGTGTTGGTTTGTTTTAGTCATTACGTTTCATCTTGACTTTGGCTTGTAGTGTTGGTTTGTTTTAGTCATTACGTTGCATCTTGACTTTGGCTTGTAGAATGCATGGAAAGTTACTTCTAAAACTACGTTGAAGTCCTCAACAATAATAATCAGTCTACTGTCCCCTCCAATCAGTTTGTCAGTTGTCTCAGTCAGACTGTCAGTTGTAGGTGAAGTTACTACCCTGGGCTCAGTGCAGCTAGTGTAATACCAGTCGCACAATAGTTTGAAGTTGTAGACCCCGCTAATGCATACCAGACATTGAGACGGTATTTCAAGCTCAAAACATTTTTTTTTTTTGCAGTGTGTGCAAATAACAGCATGCTAATCGACTCTGTATTAGAGCAATGAGCAAGTGAGCATGTTGATGGATGGTGCGCATTTAAAATTCAAATGTTAAAATGCATCTAAAAATTGAAATCAGATTATTTTTACACAGACTATTTTATGCAATTAACCTGTTCATTTTGACAGCCCTAGTAATGCAATGTAACCTTAATATCAGTTGACCTCTATGTATATTGCCAAACCGTTGCTCATTATGGTTCTGTAAAAAGTAAAAGTCACTCACCATCCTTAAGTTCTACATAATAAATAAATAAATAAAAACATAAATCACACATTTTTAAAAAGAACATTACAACATTCAATTCTCCAACAGCGTTTCCATGTGGGTCTCCACATGAGAATTGGTTTTGACTGGACAATATGTATGTGGGCTCTACGTGTGGCTCTGTGTCCTCATATAGAACTGGGAGGTTAAATTCATATTGAAAATTCAAAAAAGGCCCAGATGGAAGCTGTCAACAACATACGGTGTATATTAAAAATGGACATGGCCACACAGTTTAAACACTGCCTGGGAGATCAAGCAGAGATTCTCTACTTCTGTCTGATGTAGCTCCATTAACTCCTTATAGAGTTACATCAGCAGCCAGTGAAGAAAGCAAACTCTTACTTATTTACTCCTATTTTGGTAGCAATAAAAATGAGATGGCTACATCCATTTCTGATATATAGTCTATGACACTTTTTCACTCATTTTCACACACACTTGCCTGATGAACAAATGCAGTTTGGGTTATAAATACAATAAAATGAGTCTTAATCTTGTATAATTATAAATATGTTATTAAAAAGAAGCTTGGTTATATAAATCATTCAATTTAAAAAAAACATTAGAATTCTGCAAAGTAAAATAAATAAATAAAAGAACAACATAAAGTAAATGCAGTGACAAAAATAAAACTACTGAAGAGGTTTAACAGCTGATAACTGAAAAGTATGGATTCTATGTTTTCAGCATGCATCCTTTTATATTTACGTTTGTTATTGTTAAATAATATATATATACATTCAAAACATGGTGAAAAACAGGGAGAACTTTGACAGTATATTTCCAGACTGAAAACGTAAATATAGGTATTACGTATGTGGAAAAATTGCAAATGAACAGTAATTAAAAGTATGTTTTTTGAAACATGCTTGTTGAGCATTGTTTCTAAAGCTTTCTAACACATTTGCTTTAGCCTTGGTCTAATTTACCTAGTTCATCATCGTCTGTAAGGTCAAGTATCACAGAAATAAATGTGAAAAAACTGTGTTATTATTAGACTGACTAAGAGAGAATTGTACCCTGTGGCATTCGTATTCATTATTTAAAAGTGTGTTCCACTTTATTGGCTATTTGACTTGGTCTTTTGGGTATTGCACAAATCAGAACGGGTCAACAAGACAAGCTGATGTGCAAACTGCTGGTGGAAAAAAAAGGTTAACCCAGACTGACATTAAAACCGCCTGAAGGGAGTTTAGTTACCTGAGCAGTTCCGTGCATAATTCAGGTTCTCTTGTGGGTGTCCAGGTAGACGGCATTGGAACCGGTACTGCCAGAACTCAGGGAACCACGGGTTGCGGACGTTGGTGCTGAGCTTCAGTTTCAGGAAGTATTCGTCAAAGGAGGAGACTTCCTCTGACTGCAGCTTCACGGTGATGCCGCCAACAGCCTCCTGCTCATATCCTTCGACCACCTCCACACGGTCAGCCCAGCCATCACTAAAAGATATATATTAACAACCTCAGAAAGAGCTAGACATGGAACAATTAAATGGTAGCCCAGAATGACTTTTTGCTATAAGTGATCTTTTTTCCCAAATGAATCTTATAAAAAAAAGGCCAAAATATGCTAAAATTGTAGTTAAACTTGGTTAAACAGCTAAAGAACTGAGAGAAAAGTAAAAATACTATATAAAAATAAATATGAGTTAACCTTAGAAGCTTAGATGTAGCCATAGTAATGGAATCAAAGATCTGAATATGAATGAAATATGAACAAGGTTTAGTCTAAAAGCCTTTAAGTCAATTTAAACTCAGCAATACCATACATGGGAGACCAAATATTTAAATATAATATGTAATATATATATTTAAAGGAGAAACAACATGGACCAAATTAGACACAATGAAGCTGAAAGATATCTAAAAACGAACCCTAAAACAACTCAATTATCAAAAATATAGTAAGACCCTTGACGGCTAAAGTTTCAGAGCCAAAAACCCTGTTAAGAAATATAAACATAACAATCCATGCTACCTGAATGCCAAAAAACTTGCCTTTTATGGATTTGTTCGTAAAATGACATTAAAAAATTAAATAGACCATTGACCAAGGTCGAAAAAGTGAATCATGATTCTAAAATAAGTCTCAGATTTATTCCATATTTCGTACAGTATGGAGCTCCTGTTCTATGACATTCTGACTGCACCAAATATCTGCCTGCAGCCGCCTATCACCAGCTCTGACTGAATCCATCTTCCCTTTTGTTTCCCTGACTTTCAGCCTCTCTGCTGAGAGGGAGAAGGGGGCTGGGTGGGTGGAGGATTCTCACTGTACTTGCTGGAAGAGAAGGGGAGGGAAAAAAAAAAGAAAGACTTCAATCGCATCTCCAGTGAGAATTAACAGATCAGTAGCAGACAATCTGCCCAGGACTGAAAGCCTCCTCTGTCCTTATGTGCTGTTCAACTCTAAAACATTCAGTGTGATTTCACTGCTATCCTCGTAGTTTTATATACTATTAAAAATATGGTTTTACATATTTTTAGATATACTTTTAAAAACCCTTCATTTAATCCAATGGCAAAACAACCTGCACCAAGCGTAGATACAATTTTGGACTGTTGGTCAGAATACTGTAGAGCAGGAAGAGTGTTAGCTTCAGTTGATTAGTTATATTGACAGCCCACTCTATGTGGACAACAAGGCCTACAGTATGAATCATAGCTGTATTTTAACCTTTTTCAATCAACACTAGGACAAAAATATTCACAACCTTCACACTTCGAATTCACCAAATGGAGCCAACAGCACATTTGGCTTGGCAGACGCTTAAAAAAACCCCCAAAAAACCAGACCAACAGTACACTGTTTAGTGTAACACAGTCAACAGCACCTGACCATCTGCTTCTCAGCGTCACACTCCAGCCCTGCAGTCTGGCTGCCAAAAACTCTATAACTATTGTTACACCTACACAAATGTGTTGTGTACTGCTTTTACTGATTCAGCTGTGTGAATTCAAAAACCTTCTGAAATTTAAAACACAGTCTAAGTTGCAGGTCGCACAGGATTATCATTTATAGAACAGTCTAGACAATGCTTCAACCAGGAATATTGAATTTGAACTTTATAAATAAAACAATAAAATAACTAAAAAAAAAAAATTATATATATATATATTAATTATATATTATTATTATTATATTAAGCAAAACTGGAATTAGAGAATTTTGCAATATGGATAAGATTTGACACCTATCTAATAAACATTAACATAGACTCTCTACTATAGACTTTTATATTAAGACAACCAGACTTTAAGCTCTGGTGGTCTATTGAGTTTGACATATGTGCTGTGAATAGTAAAAACAGGGCCCAAGGAGTAGATGACAACTTACTAGTAGATCTCAGAGTACTGATAGACCATGAGTAATTAAAATAAAATAAAAATGTAAATATAATTTTTATATATAGTGCGAGTTCAATTTAAATATACCATTTCCTCTTATACTATTTGAAGTGTCTTCACCTCTCCTTGTCCTCCATAATAATTCAGCTTCTTATTATTTCACAATTAATTTACTACAGCTTGTCTTTCATTGTCCCTTTAGGTCTTAGGAAACACCCATAGTACGACTGGTGATGAGTTGACAGTCCACAAAGAAGACGCGTGAGGTGTAAGTGCTGATATGAGCTTTGATGTTCACTCACTGTCCCAGCTTATGCTGCAGGTCCTGTCCCACTTTAGGCCAGCCTGCCTGTGATCTGACACAGAGAGGCAGGACTGACTGTGTGAATACATTATTCATCACAATCCTGACCTAAAGCATCTTTTCCTGCTTTCACAGGAAAAGGAATATTGTGGTTCAATATGAACTTCAAACCACTTTTAATCCTGAGGGAAGCTAAATTTAGTAACAGTAGGACGTCATGAGCGTTCTCCTAGTTTCTGTACAGAACCATTAAAATACCAGTGACATACTCTGTTGATAAAGAATATTCTGAAGGAGCCAGTGGTGATGTTACTGGTCAAACAGACCAGAAGATCACCATTTTAAAAATGTCCCCAGAAAAAATGAGGTTGAAGAAAAACGTTTTTTAAAGCAGTTTTTGTAAAGACATGAAAACCGTTATAAGTGTTTATGTCACAGGTTGACATCTGTGAATAAATTCAAACCAAAGTTTGTACTAAACATCTTTAGTGAATCTCAGCCTTAGTGCTGAAGTTCTAGGATCGTCAATTCAAAGAAGAAGAAGAGGAAGTAGCGCAGCTGAGAAAAACTGACATTGCTGAATATGATGACATTTCCTTCAGTAAACAGAGGATTTTTATTGTTGTTTTTTTCAGCCTGCATATGAAGAAAATGAAAATGACAGACCCTGTTACTGAACAAACCTGCCAATTAGGAGAAACTCTCCAGCTACTCCAAGTCGTCTCATGGCCATGAGCAGTCCTCGGACTGTCATGCCTTCACAGAAGCAGACAACAACACGAGCCTTTGGCAGACGCTCCCTCAGCTTCCTCAGCATCCTGTCAAAGTGCTTCTCGCCAGCATTGCTGTAGATCTTGTCAGAAAGAGCGATACAGATGCCTTCCTGCGAGGCCAGCTCTTTGAACACTTCCATCCCGCTCTCTCCATAGTTACCTGAAAGATGAGAGGAACTGTCAGAGGATTGGATTTTTAGTTGACTCCCTCCACAGAAAGTCTGCATTTTCACACGTTAACATTAAGTGGTCCATTATGTCCCCACATGTCTTTTTATGGAATCAAGAGCAGCACAACTGGAGCACCAGGGCTGAAGGTGACCTCACTGAGTTGGCTAAGGACTTAGGGAGCACAAGCATGTTAGGTTTTTATTAGATTTATTTTCTTTAATTTGTTATTACATAGTTTTCTGTTTCTGTTAAATAAAAAAAGATAAGAATTTAGCAGCACAACACTTTTCATTGGTTCAGTTCAAGTCAGAAAGCTGTTTGCCTTGCGAGATATACAGTTGCATTTTAAGATCCCTGTTCCAAATACATGCACTACTCAAAACACTAAAACCACAATACTATAACTCAAATACTTCAAGTACTAATTCATTGAAGCTTTTTACATAAGGATCAAGTATTTTTGGATCAGTTACCAATAAACCCCTGAAGACCTGTGCATACATTTTTTGTTTGTTGCAGAGCCATCAGCATGGTTACCAATCTTCACAGAGTTTTCAACATTCAAGTTTGTTGTCTTACCCTCTGTGTGCACTGCAGACACATATGTCCAGTTGTATCGCTTGACGATGTCCAGCAGAGCCCTGGCCTGAAGAGTATCTGAAGGAACCACCCTGAGGAAGTACTTGAACAAAGTCTTGTCGCTCAGGTCGATACTGGTGGCAGAATAGGCAATCTGTGGAATGTTAAACAACTGCAGAAGGTTTTGGACTTGAATAGCAACAGAGCTGGAACCTGGGCCGATGACCCCCGCGATAGGTTTCTTGTTCTGTGGCGGCTCGCTGGAGGGAGACCCCTCAATGCACCACTTGGAACCTTCCTTATCGTCCCGCAAGGAGATGAGCGAATCTCTTATGAACTCTATGCTCTGCTCCAGAGCCACTGATGAATGCCAGCAGGAGTCTCTGATCTCACAACCCAAGGTGATGTTGGGTAACAAATTGGGGTCGGAATTAATCCGATCCAGAGTGTGGAACATGGCCTCCACTCTCTGGATGCCGTACTGCTCGCGGACTTCCCCACATTTCCTCTCTGCTACCTTTTCAGCAGAGGGTTGGTGGTGAACAGAAAAGAGGGCACCTATGATGATGTCGCCATCCATCCTGGCCACCAGGCGGGAGGCAGAACTGGGCACCACTGACCTCTCATACTTTCCTTTGGACAATACAAATGCCTCAAACAGCAAAATAGGCAAATACAAAAAGGCAGTCAGGTAAATCATAGTTGACATTTTGCCACAGGAGCTGAATGTAGAATCATGTCCGTCTGTCCATAATGGTGGTCCATTAATCCTTTTCTTGGTCAAATGGCAAATACCTCGGCTGCTTCTTCTCTAGTATGTCACCCTGTATATGGGACAAAGACCATTAATCATATATATTATATTTAAAACACTTTTTGGGTCAGCAATGATCCAAACATTAGAAGAGTATAACCACCAAGAAACTTGAATCAAAAATAGATTTTTTCACTTTGTTAAATTTTCTCTCCTAATACAATTCACATAATACAAGCCCAAAGTAAAGCATAGTGAAAAATACATTAAGACTGAATCAGAACATTCAGTGTTAACAGCTTTAAAGGCAAAATATAAAAACACAAAGTTTCAGAACCTTGGACAGCTCTAGTTCCTCTGTTCCAACATACGTCTGTTTCTTCAAGTTTTACCCTCAAGTAAATGTGTGCTTGTGTACACACACACACACTCACACACTGTGACTGTGCTTTTTGTGGACAGATGTTTTCAAAGGTGACACAAGCTCTTTATTCTCAGGTCTGCAACCCGTGTCATTTGCATGTCTACTGTATAATACATCATCCCCAACACGCACATGCATCCTAATTAGAAATAATCAGACACAGGCACAAGCTGGAGAGTGCTACAAAAGAGCGTTGCAATGCAGATTTTCTTTCTGCCAAATCACTGCCTTCAGTTCAGTGACTGACATGATTTCACTTACCTGCAGCAGACAGTTGGGGACATCGCAAGTCAAGAGTCTCTTTAGAACTCCAGCAGCTCCTATGCTGTGAAATCACAGTCTCTCTCGCTTTCACTCTCTCTCGCTCTATCTCTCGCTCGCTCGCTCTCTCACACTGCCTCTATCTCTCTTGCATTTTCTGTCTGCTTCTCCTCCTGCATCTTAAAAACAGGTCACATGCACTGCAGTGTCCCTGTTTTGAAACCACAGTCACACACTTACTTGTAGACACCTAAACTAGGAAGACAAAATAGAAGTACAAACACTTTAATTTATACTAATATGTACTCTATTACTACTTCTACTCTACCTACCACTATTACCACTACTACACATGCTATATATTGATACTATTTCTAATAACATGACTATTGTCTACAAGGGAGGGACAAAAGGAAAGAAAATGAAAAAAGGAACACTAACACTGAAAACCTATGACACCAAAATAAATGAATTGAATTATTGTATGTTCATATGCTTTATAATTTAAATGTATATTCCAACAATATGTAAAACATGTTCAGTGATTAATCACATTGCATCATTTAAGACCCCAGAAAATGTGATGCATGTTTATTGCTGCAGTCACATTTCAGAACCTCATGCCACCCTGTGGCTGATATATATTACTTCAATACTTTTCTACAAAAGCTTATGTTTTCATGATTTTTAAAACTGACATATATATATTTCTGAAGGCAAGGTTGTGTTTTTTTAATGTTTTTTTTAAATGAATTGCTAACATTTAGCTGCTTCTGGTCTTGCTTTCAGTTTAATCTTACTATCCACTACTATCTAGTTTCATTTTCTTCATATCTATCTATCTATTTATTTTATACACTGTTAGCTTATTTGAAACTATCTGGGCCAATAGAATACAATACAAGGTTGATTATCAGTCGTTTTTCTTACTGTCACTTAAAACGTTTATTTTTATTTTTTTATTAAGCTTTTTGCTTAATGTGTTGATTAAAATGTCCCATTTCTTCTATCAAACCTTTTGAAGACTTTACCTTTTTATACCTATATATTTCTTGGGTATCTTTAGGTATTGATAAGCTAACTTAAATGTTGTTTCTGTTATTTGACTAGATCAAAATAACTAAATTCCCCTGCTATAATTGTTCTATAAACTATTATGTGTTAAATATCAGTCAGTTACCTAGAGTAAGAAAAATAAAAATAACTATTATGTGCTAAAATGTCAGGCAGTTACCTAGAGTAAGAAAAATAACGACTAACTGTGTCTTACCAGTAGTTGGCAACAGAATAATTTTGTAAAATTGTATAAATTCAATATATAATACAAATAAAATGTATAATTAATGCTTAACATTAATATATACACGTTTAACACAAATATAAAATATATTTTCATAATTATCACCCTTGCGGTCTTGATGTTGTCATCACTTCCTCCTACTGTGACCTAACATCCGGCATTTAAAGATGGCGGAACACCGCCACTGGATTCGCTAAAAGAAGAACGTTTTGTTTTGGTTCCGTCCAGCGTGTAGATGTGGGGTCACTGCGACATGATTGGAAGCTTGGTGCAGCGCTAAAAAGTAGGTCAATGTGTGTGAGGCTGTAAACAAGACACAGTCTTTACATTTCCCGCTTTATTCACAGACAAGATGAAACACGTAGCGATACCGTTCTCATTGTGTTTGTTCTTAACAGCACCACTGGTTGTTCCTGGTCACTTTACATGCTATTACAAGTAAGAACTATACTAACTATATTCACATCATATATTAAACGCTGTTTATTTACTTAATATTTAATCACAAGCCATTAGAAAATCAAACAAGACGTTGTTTTACATCTGACTGACTAGTTATTTTTTATTATATTTCTAAAACAAAATCAATAATATTTAACTTGTATTATTGTAATAATATTTGCATGCAATCGACCAGTGATAAACTACCAGTGTTGGTTACCACACAGATCCCTGTATGTTAGAGAAAAACACATGTTTGTTGTTTGTTTACTTTTTTTCCATTAACACCAGTACTCTTAATTTTTTGTTTTATTCTTTAGATATGACCAATCTTAAAATTTAGATTAAATTTAGAACAGGCCTACATTTCCTAATTCTCAACCACACACAACTACAAAACTACAAAAGAGGCTTTTTTAACAACTGAAGTAAATCAAACTCCCACACACCTCTAAAAGGAACTCAAGTACCACGTGTACTGTAATCAGAGAACCAAAATATCTGCATTTCTTTAAGCCATGTTTTAAACCATTGGCCGATAACGTAAAAAATATGGTTTTAATATGATTTTTGAAATATTGTCTGATATATTATTTTTCCATGGAACAGAATATTTATCCTTTTACTCATCAGTCAAATCTTATTATATCAACACATTTTTACACGTCACCAAGACATAGTCAGAGCTGAAACATGATGAAAACAGAGGGAAAAAATCCAACAAGATGAATCATTACAAAGACCAAAGGCAGTAGAAATCCCTTCCATACCAACACAGGATAAAACACATAAAAGGACCAATCACGGGAAGTTTAGTATTAACATTATCTATTGAGAATTGCTAAATTTCCAACTATCATATGACTTTTCCAGGGTATTCATTGTCTACCTAAAGACGCATGTTCTGCTGAATTCATGTTACAATCTTGTAATCAAAACTCCATATATCCTTCTTTTAGGGCCCAGTCATGAGCAGCAGAAGGAAGAAAGCCCCTCCCGTGAGGGTGGATGAAGAAGCCAAAGAGAAGCTGAACTGGAACATGCTGGATGACCGCAAGAATGAGGTAATTCTTGTGGATGATGAAGACCAGACACTGACCTGCTCCTCCCTGCCCAGCGACCCCACACCCAGCAGCTCCTCTATCTTCACCACTAAGGACAACACAGAGGATGAATGTTCAAGCTCTGTCCAGTTCACGGAAGAACTTCCTAGTACGTCCTCAGAGGTCACTGGTATCTCAGTCTCTCTGACACTGTCTGTTGTTCCAGCATCTAAGCTGTGTCATGTTTGGAGAGCGCTCATTGGAGAGTTTAGTGTCCGACCAGCATGGCTTCCATCAGACTGTAAGCAGAAATCCTTCACACTTCACAGGATAGGGGAGCAGCTGTGTCTCAGTTATAGCAGTTGTGAAGAGTCTCCAGGGCTGCAGTTGAGGCCTGATGAGGACACATGCACAGCAGAGTGCAGCCTCAGTCGAATCCCACTAGAAGACCTCGACTGGATGCAGAAACGGAGGGTGGTTCAGCTCTGCCACCAGGTGAAGGAAGACTTGCTAAAGGTACAAATACCATCACCCAGTTCACTCCAGTCAACGGCACTAGACACTCATGTAGCTGTTCTCTGTGTGACTTCATGTAGTAATCTAAATCTGTCAAAAGACAACACTGCTAGATGTTGCTTTTATCGTACAACCTTTGTCTATCTGATTCCAACAGGTGGGAATTTACCTCCTGGAAACTGGGCTTGGAAAACCAGAGTTCCTCAGTGTGGGAAATGCCCGTCTGAAGAAAGCAAACCAACTCATGCAAAAGCTGATGGAATATTTTTATGATTTCATAATTCCTGGTATGTGGACAGTTGAACTTTCTTTTTCTTTCTATTCCTTCGTCATATTTAGAGATACAGAGACATTTAGATTAATCTTGACTATTCATGATAAATTACACTTGCATCATAATTAATCGTGACTAATCGGCAGCTGCTCTGTCATCAGTCAGATTTTAATTTTGAGTCAGTTGACATCCATAATCAATATACAATAATATGATTATTCTGTTTTGTAATGTAGAAGTTGTTGAAAATGAGGAGGAGGAGTGTGACACAGACCTGGAGAGGCAGAATGTGGAGGAGCTCTATGACTATGTCAGACATCTTCACCAGAGGGAAACCCAGGATGTGACCTATGACATCCAGCACAAGGCCCTGATCCCTGTGCTCAGACCATATCAGAGCCAAGCTGTTAACTGGATGCTGAAGAGAGAGAAATACAGAAACTCATCACCTAAAGGTACTTTAGCTTATAAGGACTATTATTATTCAGGAAAAACCTGTTTTGGGTCATTTGGATAAAACCGATTATTTCATTGCAGAACAATCCTTACATTTCCTTTGGAGAGAGTTGGTCACTCTGTGTGGAAAGAAAGTTTTCTACAACCCTTTTACTGGCTGGTGAGAAATTTAATTTATGTTGCCCAGAGGGACAGAGATTCAGGTCCCTTTTTAACTTGTATTTAAATTTTAAAAACACCTTTTTTACCTGCAGCTTAATTCGAGAGTTTCCGTTGGCTGGGATCGAGTGGCCTGGTGGGATCCTGGCAGATGAGATGGGGCTCGGAAAGACTGTGGAAGTTCTGGCTCTCATCCTGTTTCACACTCGACAGGATCTGGAGCAGGAAGTGCTCACCCTGCCAGAAGTAAGGAAAAATACTTCCCTTATTTTTTTTCGTTTGCCTTTTGTAGTGTTTCCCATTAACTAGATAAATGGGTTGCAGTTTCTATCTGTGCAGTAGGTTTCTTTTGTTATTAAATATATTTTTTCATTTCTAAGCTTTTGAGAATAGTTTAAAAAAAATGGGACAAAGATAATTTAGTCTCTGACTCATTCACTCTGACTTGGTTCTTACCTTTGACCCAAATATGTTTGAATCAGACACCTCTATTACATTTCATTGATTAATATTCAACTGATCTGTAGAAAAATGTAAACAATAAACTTTTTTATGTTTTTTCAGGGAAAATCTGTGAATTATTTTGTTCCTCCACCACCGTTAGAAAGAAAGACAGTCTGCAAGTCTGAGGTCCAGCCTAAGATGAAAATTTCCCACCCAAGTATGTCTCTAGCAATCAACCTGACCTTTTCTATTCTCTGCAGTTCAGCACTAAACATCCATACAAATCTATTCCACAGCTGTGCGAATAATGCTGCTCACTGCAATAAAGGAGATGAGATCTGGTAAAGGAGCCTCAGTCAATGCTGTGTTCACTTACATCCGTGCCACCTATGGTTATGACCTGTTAAAGAACCGCAACCACATCAAGAAGACATTGAACAAGCTGATCGACGAAGGCCTAGTGAACAGGGTTAAAGGTCGAGGCCTGGCGGGATCATTCAAGCTGGGAAAGAACTACAAGGAAACAAAGAAGATGTTGTCGACACCATCCAAGTCTGTAAGAATAAATCAGCTTTTATCATTGTTGTGTCCAAAGACGGCACTTTGAAAATGTGTTCTGCAATTTGTCCCAAATTTCATCTTGAATTAGCTGCTGCCAGAAAATTAAGTTAATTTAAAAATGTTTTTGTCTGCTATATGTTTTGCTCAATTTTAGCATTTATATTTTTTTCTAAGCCATGTTTTTTCTTTTGTTTCCCTTTGTTTTATTCTCCTTAGATTTCAAAATCCACAGAGAGCTCACCCAGGAAAATGTTTCAGAGACGAGCAAAAGAGAAGGCAGAAGCAGCTCTTCACAGCTCTCTGACAGAGGATGAAGGAGATCTGAGTCTTCTGACGTCTGATTGTGCAGCACCAGTGGAAAAAGAAAGGAAGGAACAGTGGAATGAGGCTGCTGGTGAGAAAACAGAGCAGCACGATGACACACTAGATGTGTCTGCATCATCATTAGATGTATCACTAGATAAAATTGACTCAATGGACATGTCCAGAATGGATGACATAGTTGAAAGACAAAGAGAAGATCCTTGCCTGGTAGAAACAGAACCTCCCACCAGAGCTTCGGCGGTGCCTTTCAACACCCCCGACTACCGCTTTGAGTGCATCTGTGGTGAACTGGGAATCGTTGACTACAAGGCCCGCGTGCAGTGTTTGAACTGTCAGCTGTGGCAGCACGCTGAGTGTGTGAATTACAAGGAGGAAAGTCTGGACACGACACCTTTCTATTGTCCTCACTGTCTGGTTGCCATGAAACCAGTCTCAACTGGAGCCACGCTCATCATCTCACCCAGCTCCATCTGCCACCAGTGGGTGGAGGAGATAAATCGACACATCAGGTCCTCCACCCTACGTGTGCTGGTGAGAGTAGATTCAAGATGTTTCATCAGTTGCTTCACTGCCACCTATGTGATAAACATAAAAATAAATAAAACTATACAAAAGGAGAAAACTGCAAACAGAGGGCAGTGACACTAAAAGTGATCAGTGCAGTACCTCCGTTGTCCAGCAGACTCTGTATACTATACCACTTTAATTTGCTGCTACTAAGAAATACACAAAACTCATGATGTAAAGTGTTATTTTACCTCAGGTTTATCAGGGTGTAAAGAAACATGGCTTCATCCAGCCTCACATGCTGGCTGAGCAGGACGTCGTCATCACCACCTACGATGTGCTGCGGTCTGAACTCAACTACGTCGACATTCCCCACAGCAACAGCAAGGACGGACGGCGATTCCGTAACCAGAAGCGGTACATGGCAGTTCCCAGCCCCCTAGTGGCTGTGGAGTGGTGGCGCATCTGTTTAGACGAAGCCCAGATGGTTGAATGTCCAACTGCAAAGGTAAACTTGATTAAATAGGCAATGAAATAAAAAGTTAAATGTTAAATGGTACTTTGGGTTAACTCAATTTTTCTATTGAAAATTAATTTATTCTCTGTAACATTTCAACCAGGCTGCTGAGATGGCTCTGCGTCTAGCATCCATCAATCGCTGGTGTGTCAGTGGAACTCCTGTCCAGAGAGGTTTAGAAGGTAAGAAGTTCTGAATGTTTGAGAATTTTTACTTTGAATGCTTTGGTGTACAAAGTCTGGCCAGAAGCTATTAATAACTGTTGGGCTGTTGTTTTGATACATGGACAATGTTATGAGTTACATTACAATACAATACATTTAGCAGATGCTTTTATTCAAAGCGACTTACAATTTGAGTCAGTCAATCAACATTCAAGCTACAGTAAACATACAAAATACAAAAATACATAGATAATATCAAGTAGTCATAAATAATAATAAATGATAAATAGAAAAGGTGCTACTCATAGTAGGCCATAGAGGTGCATGTTAGATTATATTAGATAACTAGTTAGATCAAAATATTCATGTTGGTCATTTAATAAAAAGGGAGAACTTGAATCAGGAAGAACTTTATTTCTGTGCCTAGATCTGTATGGTCTTGTTCTTTTCTTGGGAGTTGATCCTTACTGGGTAAAGTACTGGTGGCACCAGCTGCTCTATCGGCCTTATCGCCATGGAAACACAGAACCTCTGTACAACGTCGTCTCTCAGTTAATGTGGCGATCAGCCAAAAAAGACGTCATCGATCAGGTAGGTGAACTGTTGCATGTCTGCGTTCAAGCTTAAATTATAGATGATTTTTTAAAAATATTCATCATGGCTTCTGCTGCCTTGTGTTTCCCAGATCCAGATTCCCCCTCAGACAGAGGAGGTTCACTGGTTGCGTTTCTCTCCTGTTGAGGGTCACTTCTATCACCGTCAGCATGAAGTCTGCTCACAGGACGCTCTAGTCAAACTCAGGAAGCTCTCCGACTGGAGCCTGAAGCTTGGCAGCCTGGACCGTCGTACCGTCAACACCATCCTGTGTCCACTGCTGCGTCTGCGTCAGGCCTGCTGCCACCCACAGGCAGTGAGGGGGGAATTCCTGCCTCTGCAGAAAAGGTACAAATGTTATAAACCCTGAATGAAGCAGAGAGCTCTTCTCTGTACTAGTTAATTGACTATTAGCTAAATGGACCGAAGGTCCACAGGATTAGAAACCTTAAAAGATTCAAATAGTTCAAAGTGTGCAGTTGTGTTTATTTAAAGCCGACCCATTTGTATAATTTGCATCGTAAGGGTTTGTTAAGTGGCCTTTGTCTTTGTGTCGTCTCCTCAGTACCATGACAATGGAGGAGCTGCTAAAGTCCCTGCAGAAAAAATGTCGAGTGGAATGTGAAGAAGCACACAGACAATTGGTGTGTGCACTCAATGGCCTGGCTGGAATTCACATCATCAGAGGTATAAATAAAATCAAAACCCCACACCCTACTTGTGATACACCTGCTCCCAGTTCCCATGGGAATTAGCTCCAACAAAACACAAGCCATGATCTCAACTTCAGCTCTGCCAGTGTTTTTTAGTAATGAGATGTTTTGTTGGAAAAACGTCTCAAAGACAACATATGTGTCTTAGTGTCCACGCCTTGTCTCAATAGCCCTCTGTGCATGGGCAGTGTTGAGTGTTGCTAATGAAGGCCGCCTCTTTCCTTCACCTTTAGGTGAATTTGTAGAAGCCACAGAGATGTATAGAGAAGTGCTGCGCTCATCAGAGGAGCACAAGGACAGACTGAAGACGGATTCTTTACAGGTATGTGGCCTCATCGCCTCAGTGTAACTTTCACACATTGGTGGACGAGACTTTTATAGAAACCAAATGAATAACAACAAAAGGTGAAATGTTGAAGCACTGCTTTCATACAAAGTCTTATCAATCGTTAATAAGAATTCCTACAATCTACAAACGGCGTGGTAGGTTTGCAAAACTAGGTGGAACAAATAAGGAAAATATTGAAAGCTATGTTAGAATCCGCACAAAAAATCAATGACATATTATTTTATTCCTCATCTTAGCGACTTCACGCAACCCGTAACTTGATGGAGCTGCTGGAGGCAAAGCACCCTGGTATTCCGCCAACGCTGAGAGACGATCGACTCAGTGAGGAGGTAACACTTTTATAAATAACCCTTCCTGACTCCTTAGAGAAAAAGCTGTTTTTTTTTTCATCATTATTTTTTGTCTCTTTCTTCAGGCTGAGCAGCTCCGACAGCACTACATGACCAAATATGACTCTGAGGTGGCAGATGCTTACCATGCTCTGCAGCCAGTGTTACAGAACATCAAGGAGCTCAGACGCAAAGTAGGAAAACCTGTTTTACCGTCACATTAATACAGATTTTTATAAGCCAAAATATTTTAACATATAAGACTCCAAATGAGTTGTAATTAAAACAAATAAATTGGTCAATATAAACAAATAAAAATATTTTAACATATAAGACTCCAAATGTGTTGTAATTAAAACAAATAAATTAAAGGCTGAATTTGTCCAGGTCAAAGTCAACTCCCCCTGGTGGCTGGATGTGATTCAACGGGCGATCCGCTGCTCCACTGACGACGATCTAGTGTCTCGCATTAAGAATGAGCTGACCAGCTACAAACAACAGGCCAGCAAAATGTCCATGGCTGACAAGTATTAAACAAATTCTTCAATCATAGCAGGATTGTAAGTGGTTTTCCCCCCACAGAGCGTCTACTAAAAACCAGCCTCTGTCTGGCAGGTTCCGCGACGCCTGTGGTTTGCAGTTCCTGCTCAACTCACAGATGCAGGATCTGATGAAATCCCAGAAGACTGTGCAGGACGCAGTGAAGAATCTTGAAGGTCCTGCTTCTCAGAAAGTGATTGATGAGGTCACCATTTGTCACCTCAGGCCCATGAGGCTGCCACTGAACAAGTAAGACATCAGTATTTTAGACCTGTATTTAGTCAATATTTTATATATTTACTCTGAGTATGAGCATCTTGGGATTTTCCTAAGCCTTTAAATGCATTTTTAAACTTTTTTCCTTCTTAATTTCAGCTGCGTCTTTTGCAAAGCAGATGAACTTTTTGTGGATTATGAGTCTAAGCTCTTTTCTCACACGTAAGTAGAGCATTTTTGTTTTCAGCCTCTTTTTTTTCAGTTTATTACAATCTGAAACCTCTCTGATAGAGTGAAGGGTCAAACGGCCATCTTTGAGGAGATGATTGAAGATGAAGAAGGGCTGGTGGACGACCGTCTGCCCACCACCAGTCGAGGTCTGTGGGCAGCCAGTGAGACCGAGCGAACTCTGAAGGCCATTCTGTCTTTTGCCAAAGCCAAGCGTTTGGATCCAGAGCTGGTGGAAGAGGGAAACACTTTCATGGAACTATTTGAGAACTGGAAGAAAGAGTACAAGGTTTTTATATATAAGAAATATAAGTCTTTTAATTGTGACTGTGATTATATTTTTAAAACTTTTTGCATGTTTTTATTTTTACGTTTTTTTATTGTGATATTTTCATATACTTTTCACATTTTCACCACATTTCAAACTTTTTTCACAATATTATTTTTTTTAAACTTTATTTTTATTTTAAAGGTCTAACAAAGACAAACAAAACTTTACTCACATTGGTCACAGCACCGGTAAGCGCAGCACAAAATGAAAAAGAATTGTGTATTCTTATTCAAATACAGAAGCCATTCTGACCAATACTTCTGGGTGCTGCTGTAGCATTTAGACTCTAAATATTGTTGTTACTATGAAATTATAGTAATAGTAGTGGTACATAATAAAGTGAAATCTCATCTTTCTCTTCTTAGGTTCTACACGAGTACTGGATGGTTCTGAGGAATCACGTGTCGGCCATCGATGAGTTGGGAATGGCTACGGAGAGGCTACGTGTTCGCCTACCGGACGAGCCAAAGCCAAAGCTGCTGCACATCATCGAGCCACATGAGGTAGAATCACAAAAAAAACACAAAAAGTACAATGTTAGTGTATCCTCACCACTGAGCAGAAAGCCACAAATATTTGTGATCCTGAGACATGATGGAAGAACCATGTCATTTATCACGTAAACATCCAAAGTTTCATTAGTCTTTAAAAGCTGATGACTAAAAAGTGCTGTCATTATAAACCTATTGAGAGCCCACCACACAGCATGGCTGCAGGTTTCCCAGGATGTCATAATCTGTCCCAACTATTTTTACTGCATTCCTGACTCCAGCTCTGGACTGTTTTTCTTCCAGGTGGAGACCAACAGAGTGAAGCTGGTCAACGACCAGGCCGTGGCCAAGTCTCAGCTTCAGAAGAAACTGGGCCAATTTCTGTACCTCACAAACCTGGAGAAGGTAGTTTTACAGTCGTTCTTATTGTGATAATGACCTTAAAGGTTGACTTGCGTCAAAAAGTCACACAGTGAACTTTATGTTGCCCTTCATCACAAAACAATGGCAAATTTCTTCCTTTGTTCCAGTCTCAGGACAAGTCTACTGGAGGACTGAACCCTGAGCCGTGTCCTATCTGTGCTCGACCACTAGGGCAGGAAGTGAGTATGGTTGAAAATCCAGTTTGTATTTGAGTGAAAAAGAAAATTTTAATAACGTGCAATGGTGATGTAGACTCATCTGACCATATAAATCACCTTATTATTATTAAAAAAAAATTAAAAATTAATATTATTAAAAATACTTTTCTGTGTTAATAATAGATTTTATGAAAGCGACTGTTATATTTTGTTATTAACCCATACAACATTTATGATTTTGTTAAACTTATATAATTTTCAAAATATGAAATAATGTGGCAAGAGACAATCAACTGCAACCACTAGATGGTGCTACATCTTACGTGTTGTACCCTTAAATATTGTACGGGCATTTTCCATGTTTTCGCATAAGAGATGAAAACTATATATATATATACTATATATATAATGGACATATTAATTTTGTACTTTACTTTGTTTACATCATGGTCCAGTGGTGTTCTTTGGTACTGTTTTACCAACACAGTGTTTACAGATCAGTCTTGGTCTGACTTTCAGTGGGCAGTGCTGACCTGTGGCCACTGCTTCTGTAACGAGTGCATCTCCATCATAGTGGAGCAGTACAGCACTGGCTCCAGGCGACGTGCCATCAAGTGCGCCATCTGTAGGCAGACTACGTCACACACTGAGATCTCCTACGTGTTTACCACACAGTCATCCAGCCAGGACCAGGAGATCCCAGTGAAGGTCAGTAGAACCTAGACCAGGATCCAGATGTTTTAGTTTGAACTGTTGCAGGATTGTTGTTTATTGAATCCTGTATCACATATGTCAGCTTCACCCTGCTCCTCTTGTGTGTGTGTGTGTGTTTTGTTTTTGTTTTTTAGGGAAGCCACTCCACTAAAGTGGAGGCGGTGGTGAGAACACTGAAGAAGATTCAAGTGACCGACCCTGGGGCCAAGTGTCTGGTTTTCTCCACGGTAACCGTAAACTATCCCTGCTCTGTGATTTACTGTGATGATATCTTTACCACTAGGCCACCACTGCCTCGACGGATGATACTACGATTGGCCCTGACCCACTTGTTTCTTACGCTCTCTCACCTCTCCACAGTGGCTGAGTGTTCTGGACATCATCGCCAAGGCCTTGTTTGACAACAACATGGAGTTTTCACAAATAAATGGCATCCACAAATTTCAGGTTTGAGCTCATTGATAATATAAGATATACTTTATTTTTGTATGAGAACCCTAGTGAAATTTGCTAGGTTAGGTTCTTCACTTGATCTGTAAAAACACTGACTAATATCTTAGTCTTAAATAATTAAAATGTCATCTCCAGGAGAATCTGAGCTCGTTCAAATACGAAGACAAAATCAACATTCTTCTCCTTCCTCTCCACACGGGCTCCAACGGCCTGAACATCATCGAAGCTACTCACGTGTTGCTGGTTGAACCCATCCTCAACCCAGCTCATGAGCTCCAGGCCATCGGCCGAGTTCACCGCATTGGTCAAACCAAGTAAGATTCAAGTCAAATCATTTCATTTTTATTAGGTGAAAGATATAAAGAGATTAAAGATATTATATATATATATATATATAAGAGATTAAAGATATTATTTTTCAATTGTTCTAAACTTTTCTACTCCAGAAATACATGGAACATTCCAATATTATTATATTTAATCAAAATTAAATAAACTCAATGAATAAAGTCAGATTGTTTTCTTTAATAGTGGCTCTCAAAATTAACCTGTTAACAACTTTTTGTGAAGTTGGACTTATTGAATCAGATTTTAAGACATTTTAAAGCAGTGGCAGAATGACACAGACTGTAAATCCAATAGTCTCACCGTCCACTTACCTTTGCTCAAATACACAGTCGATACACGTTATTTTCACACGCTGCACTGAAACATTTCAAGCTAAAAATGTCATGTTAACACCCAGCATGTATTTACAACTCACTGTTCCACAAGCCACTGTTAAAATGCAAAATGTAATAACTGAAGTCCAACCACTGTTAAATATAAAGGTATAATTTTACATATTTTTCTTCTCAGTTTTCCATATTACTAACTCCATCATTTTGATTAGTCACTTATATATAGAGATATAGTGATTTTCTTTCTATCCCGTTTAAAAATACAGATTCATTCAAGGTTAACCATGATCTATAATCACAATTATTCACAATTAATCATGATTAATCCTGGATGACTATTATCATGATTAATCAAGATTCATAATTAATCCAAAGCTATTTTAAAAATTGGTCAACCCTTTTATGTCATTTTTAATGTTGATTTCATGAATGTAATCAGTTTTTCTGGCAAATCAAAGTGGTGGTCCATAAACCCTCTATTCTTGTTTTACATGATTGTTATATTTTTGACCGCTGTCTTCTTGTTTTCCACCAGACCAACATTTGTTCATAGATTTCTGATCAAGTCAACCATTGAAGAGAGAATGCAGTCGATGCTGAAAACAGCTGAGAAGAGGTGAAGAGGTTGCATCATGTGACCAGATCTCATGAAAGAATTCTTTAAGAATGATTTTCCCAAACATGGATGTAGTGAATAAGTTTTAATTTTGTTAATTTGTTGTAGTCACACCAGCACAGCCATGAAGCACTCGGAGGCTGCAGTACTGACAGTGGCCGACCTCGCTGATCTGTTCACCGACGACACTGAACCTCTGGAGTGAGTCTGAACACTGGGAGCTGCACAGGATGCTGAAGAGTCAAAGTCAAACGTTTTCTACAAATGGACTGATTAAATTGAAATTTTCTGGTTGGACCAAAAAAAAGAAAATGTAGTCGACTACAAGTCAAAACTGTCCTTTTTTAGACAACCATAGATCAGAGACGTCCTCCATCACAGCCAGGAGGCAGAGAGCTACACTGACTGGTTGATAGGACATTTTTGAGACTCATGGAGTGGTTTGATTGGATGAAACCAATCCTGAAATTTGAAATGAAGATTCCAGAATCAACACAGAAATTATGACGTAGGGTAAACCCCTCCACCCATCTTTACAAATACACAAACCTACTACTCTTTTCTCAATAACATGGTGATTGGAGTTCTCAGATTTACACATTCCATTTTTTAAAAAACATATTGAAGCTCTTTTACACACCAAAAAACCAATTGATATTGGTTAGTTTTTAATGCTTGAGATAATGATCATCTGGACTTTACATGTCTTTGAGTCACTAACTGTTAACTAAACAGCTGTACTAGTGTACTTAAATGTGAACTGTAGAGTACTGTTACATGTTTGAATCTAAATGGAGATAATTTATAACAATCCTGTCACTGTATGACAGGACAAGTGAACCAGGGAACAGCAGTCCAGCAGTCAAATCACATTCAGGAAATAAAAACCTCTGTCCTGTTTTAACCTCAGCTCTGGTTGTTCCTCAGTGCTTTTATTGTCAGCAGCCATAAAAACTCAGGCAGGAAGGAAGCTCCTTTTAGTTTTAGTTTTTTAATTTCTGCTTTACGATCAGTGCAGAAGTCAAGTGTTACTGCAGGATTCTCCTGCATAGACCATATTCTTAGAGCTGTCTCTCTGTCTGTCTGTCTGTCTGTGTGGAGACAATGGCTTCAGTCCAACTTGACACTGGTGCTCGTCTGATTTGCAAGACAAAAAAGGGGCAAAAGGATTCAGTTTCATTCAGAGTTGTCTTGTAAATTTAAACTCATAAAAGTTTTTTTTGCAGCAGGTACTTGAAGCAATTGTTGTTCTTTTACTCTTGGTGTTTCTAAGATGTTTATGTTTATGCAGAGCAAGGAATTTCAAAACAGCATTTCTGTGAACAGTGGCTTCACTCTGAAAGCCTGTTATTTTACAATGGAAAGAAAGATCATTTATAAAAGTCTAAATGATTGACCTTGAATAGTTAGCTGGTTTGTTTTTGCTCAGTAACAGACGACAGGGGTAACATTATTTTTCAGTATGTTTCAGTCCAATATCTTGAGTTCCATCTTCTTTAAAGGATCTCTGAAACTCCTGTAGATTTGATAATTTCCTCCTCTCTGTCCTACAATCCTCAATCTGGAATATAGATCTTGAAATCGTCTCATATTCTTCTTTGATATTTCCTCCACTCTCACTAGAGTCCTGGCTCTAGATGCCCTGTGGTGTTTCCACATTATTGTGCTTCCACTTCATTGTTCTACTGTGAGGATAGTGTTCTTTGGGGGCTTTGACTCTCCTCTTTTAAACTTAACACGTCAATGTCAAGTCAGGTCTCTCTTCACCAAACTGTACTCTTCTCCTCGTATCCACCGTTTATCCCTGGCTTCTCAGCAGACTTTTATCTGGTCTTAGAGTCAAACTTTAAACAGAAATGAACTTTTCCTTTATCTGAATCTTAGCTCAGCTAAAAAAACAAGTTACTCAAAAGACACATCTTATGAGATTTTTTTGTATCATTTTTAAAACTTGTCAGTGGTTTGTATTGGGACCAAGAAAAATATAGATTTTAAAAAATCTGACCTGTTGTTTTAATCTTGATTAAAACATTTGCTTCTGTATGCAAACATAAAAACGTTAACATGCTTTCTCTGTTTAAAAAACTAAAATATTTAGATTTCCTTTACCTTTACTGACTTTTGACTGTACAGTTGAGGTGATGACCTGAGCTAACGACTCATTTCTCACTCATCCTGCCTCTTTTTACCTTCTCTCTTCAACCATTTTTTTAAAATGTGATGATGTTGTATTTGCCTGTGCAAGTGTTTCACGATACTCCCACGGGCCTCATCGTTGAATGGTCCTTAACTGGTAACTGTCTTTTTCTGACCAAGTGAGAGGGATTCCCGCTCCAGTAAAAGATTTTAAAATGTGCAGACAAAAGAAGTGGACGACAAAGAGTGTCAGCCCGTCTGCCGTTGTTCTCTCTCTACTGCATGGTTACCAGGCTTGTTGTTGTTCCGCTACAGAACCAAAACAGTTGTAAGATGTTTACTGAGAAGATGTGGCCGCCGCAGTGGGGCGGTGACATGCGTGTTACCTTGGCCTCCCCTCTGTTCCCCCTATTCATGTGCGGAATCTCATTGTTGGCGGGGACATCATTCAAGCTGGAGTTTTAAGGCCAGAGAGGGGGGGTTCCCACTTCATTAGAGCCCTGTTTCAAGAGTTGGGCTGAGGATAGGGGTGCTACATCTTCTGGTGACAGCCAGGCCCCTGACCAGTCTCCTGTAGAGTCACAGAGGGCCAAGAAGGCAGCAGAGTGGATGAGCTGAGAGGAAACCAGAGGGAGAGTCGGAGGAAAGATGGCACCTGTCAGATGGCTTTTAGTCTCTTTACTGTTGACCACGAGGATGGTCATCTCAGCTGAGCATGTGGACCATGTGGAGCTGCAGGAGGAAGAAGGTGAGCTCACATCTGCACATCTTCATCTTCTTCATCCAACAGACAGGGCTTTTTTCTATGGCTCAAGCAAAACTCATACCATTTATTAAGTACTACAGAAGAAAACATTAGTTTAAAATATTCCTTTTTTATAATGCAATATTTTGTATCAGAGCTATAGACAACTTTGTAAATGTAAAAGTGAGGCTGCAAAAAAAAAAAAAAAAATAGAATATAGAACCAGTAAGAACTAATAATAAATTAGTTTATTATAACAGTCAAATGTTCACCTTTTATTTACAGAATTCAGTGAATAAATTTAAATTGTTTTCTTTAAACTCTGTTTAATCCTTGTTTGAAGGGTTTTGTCAGAACGTTTTGTAAATAATAACAGTTGTGACTTCAAAAACAGATAATTAAGATGGAATCTCTGTTTCTGCCTACAAATTAAAAGTAATATGAATGCAAATTTTTATAGGAAAAAAAGAAATTTGACACTGAGTTTTCATCTGACTCCAGATGTTTTCCCTAATGTTTTGTTACCAGCTGTTGAATAAAAAACATTTAGGAAAAAGTTGATAATTTTGTATAATGTAATTATAGTAATAATAATTATGATCAGAAAACTCTTATATAGAGATTATTATTATCTCAATATGATCAAAAGCTAATTAATTTACTCTATTCTAAGCAATGACCACATGTTTTATTTTCGTTAGAGCTAAACGAAACTGTTGTTTGCACCAACGACCACATGGAGGTGATTATTCCCAGTTCTTTCTTCCTCAACAAAGTCCCTCCAGTTTATGTAAGTAAACCCTGAGAAAAACCAATATGACTTACTCACTCTTTAACAGGGTGATTTGCTTAACAAATGCTTATTTATTTGTTTTGTTTTGATTCAATGTTTAGATTTGGGATTTGCATCTAAATGATCCTGAGTGTCGGGGTGTGGTGGTGGGAGACTACTACGTTTTCAGCATCAAGACAAATCTCTCAGACTGTGGGACTGTTATGGTAAAACCCTGCAGTAATTTTTCCAAATATATGTTGTTTGAAGTACCCTTTGACATCAAACGTTAGGTCATGACCCCTTAGGCAAAAAGCTAGATTTACACATGGCCATCCATATGGAGGATAAGGTAAGAAAATTAAAGGCTCAAAATGAATACAATTTTGTGTTTTATTTAATTTAGTCCTGGCTTCAAGGACTTGAAATATTTCTTCAAGAAGTACATTTCAGAATTTAAGCATTTTTAAAGACTTGGTGTGAGTGACACCAGACATTTAGAAGAACTGCTTCACAATAGAAGGGAGCATTAACTTTAAGCACTGTGAAGACGACACGTGGCCTCTTTATCATTTAGGAACATAAATTCCCCATAATTATAAATCATCTATTTTTACGATGTCTTAACTTGGCCTAAGAACCAGAGCCGCAGTTTCTTCCCCCTCAGCCTTTTGCTGAAGTGAACACGGACTGAGACCCTCTGTTCTGGCTTTAATCAGATTCTTTAGAATTAGCTCATAGCACGTATAATAAGATGGACGGAGAAAGGCACATTTTCAGTGTCCAGACAGAAAGGAGTGAGGAGAAAAGATGTCGGGGGGGGGAGTGGTGCATGTCAGCAAAGAAGGGTGGTGTTGTTTCTTGTCCCTACCACAGCCAAAGAATCTCATTCAGTGCAGCAAAAGGACCTTGAACCTGTGGTCCTAAATTATCAGAATTTAGATGGTAATGATGATTATTTGTTTAGGTTCATTGATTTAGAAGGCCATAAATCACTGGCCAACCAGGCTCTCGGTTTTTTGAATCCCACCATTCATATGATTTAGAAATAGAGGCGTCTGAATCCCTCCTTTGCTAAAACACCAAGAGTCCTTAAATTTGTTTCTTGGAATGCTTCTTGTTTCTTGAAAAGCAGCAGTGTCCCAATTCTTTTCAACAAGGCAAAGACTAAAGACAAGGAGCCAAACGCTCCAGCTGCAACACAATACAACAAGGAAAGATCTCGACACATCCACTCTATTATAACAAAAAATATTTAGTACATAACACTGTATATCAGATTAGTAATATACCTTAATACAAACTATGTGATTTAATGTTTTTTTAAGTTTCCCTTAATCGTAATCTAAACATAGAACAAAGTAATAGAAGATTTTACAAGTTAGCCATTAGCGAGCTATGAATGGTCTAATGTTCGCCTTACACTCTGTATGTATAATGAGCTCATCGCTAACATTCCAAAAACGGAGAACTAGCTTAAGATAAACACAAATCAGGTGGAACTTACTAAAGGGAAAACTATGTAAGGTAATAAATAAAAAATATTTAACAATATAACAAAAGGCTTGTTTTAAATAGGCAAATATAAGCTACAAATGTGGCAACATAGCCAAGTTAGCAGAAAGAGGTGGTTATATAATTAGCCTATAAAAACTTTCATCTAAATGTTCAAACTAACTGGCAAATAGCCACAAATAATTAAACTGATTATAATTAGAATTTTAAGCCTTAAACAGAAAGAAATAAACTAAAAAAGAAGCAGTGTAATTACTTACTAGCTACTCTATGTCCTCATAAACCTGTGTGAATGTGTAAATGCCATGACTGTCCCTGAGACTGTACTTTCTATGTGACTGCAAAGACATGTAGGAAAACCAAGTAAGAAAAGGTTAAAACTGTAAAGAAATCGTCTGTTTTCTCCTTCTTCCCCTCGGTGCTTTTACAGCGTTATCACACAGAACTGTGGTAAAAGTCTGCCCGTGTTGGATTAGATGGACGTTGCTAAAGAAGAAGAATGTAGTAGGTGTCAGTCTAGCTTTCACCTTGACTGTCAGACCTCTTAAACTTGAGCAGTCTGGGGCAGAGTGACTGAATGGTGGGGTTTAAAGGTCAGACGGCTACACGGAAACCTGACGAGGACTTCTGTATCTGTGAGTCACCGCTGACAGAACCAGTAGGATTCTGTCAGTTTGGAATCAGTACCAGTTTGCTGCTCTAGAAACCAACCGGTTCTTTAGCTGCTGCTCATGGTGGGAGGTCGTGTGTTTACTGTGAGGTAATAAAAAATATGTGTCCATCGTTAGAGCTCCTGACAATTTTATCCCCCGTCATCTGGGCTCAGCAGGGGCCCAGACAACCCTCATCTGATCCTTTTCAGCTAGCACTGGTTTATGGCTCCACCAATATTACTTTACTGCAAGAGAATATTGAACAGTGTCTGTCAAGTTGTGAGAAAGGTTTCTGATCCTTTGATGCAGGGAATTGTGGGCGGGGCTGGTTTGACAGTATAAAATAAGACACAAACACAAGCAGTGAAAAATGTCAAGATAAAATATAAAATTGTTCAAAAGCCACCTTAAAAGAAACTGAATAAAGCTTAGGGTTAATAAAATAAAATAACCCTGTTTAAGCCAGATACATGAAAGTTAACCAAAGAGCTATAAATAAAATACAAATTAGCAAAATATAAAGCACAAAACCCCCAATGTCAGAAGTGACAAGAATTTACCAAAGGCTAGCTAAAGGGTAATGAAAACATACTAAGCTAGATAAAAGGTACACTACTACTACTCTTTAACTTACCATAAACCACTTAGGGATTTTTTTATATTAAGAGAAACAACAGATGTTTTTAGAACAAGCTAAATTTAGCCTAAAACATAGCTAAAAATTAGCAAAAAGGTATTTTGAGAAATATTTTAAAGCTCTTAGATAAACGTCAAACCAAATATTTGCCAAAATAAAAGGAAATTCAATGCAATATTCTCTAACTTTTTTTTGTCCACGCAGACCTCAGATGACACACACATCATGTTCATCAACACAATACACAACAACCTTTCTGAGATCATCACCAGAAACTACATCAACATCACGTTTGTGTGTCGTTATCCCATCAACTACATGGTGCAGCAGCCATACGGTGAAAACATGATCAGGGTGGACGTCAGGTCAGTTTTTTGTGTGAAAAGACTGCAGAAAAGTCTGATTTTGTCTCTATTTTATTCAACATTTGACCATTGAATTTTGACAAACTCTACAGAACAATAACTTTGAACACAGAGGATGGAAACTTCTCAGTGTCCATGTTGCTGTATAAGGACGAGGCCTTTGAGGACAGGTGGACTACAGTGCCATCACTGACACTGGACGATGACATCTTTGTCAAAGTTTTCATGGTAAATGGACTCATTAAAGGCACAATGTTCACAACACAGGATGTTTTAGCCCGAACAAAAGCAATGACTATGACCTTAGCTTTTGCAGGCTAACTAATGTGAGGCCCATAAAGGCTACTGTATATATATTTGTTGTAACTGAATGGAAGACTACGAACGTAACAGCTGAAAACAGGCAAAACCTTGCAAACCAAGAAGGAAGCTAAACATTACCACTAAATTATACCTAAAGATAGTTTTAGAAATTTAAATTTCAAGATAATTAGGAAATGGTCTACAAAAGCTCTTAATTATGTATTGAACAAGTAAACAGCTGTGGACTAAGTGGCTCATGATTGGCCCATTGACCTTATTTTGGACAGGCCCGTCAGTGGTTGTACCTCCTGGGTTTTAACTTTTGATGAAAACACATTAAAGCAGGTGGGTTATTTTGTTATTGACATCTATTTTTGGATTAGGTTGGGCTAATGGGTTTTGCAACATGTTAAGCAATATGTGCACAGCTGCTGTTTACACACCATTAATCAAACTTCTACATACAGCGTGACTCCACTGTTACACAGGACAGGGTATTAGGTCAATTATATTGGGATTCATTTTTGTCATTGTAAAATGTCTTCCAAGGAAAAAGGGTTGGGACATATCTTGTTTGTTTTTTTTTTTCACTTTTGGGCTCTATTTTAACCATGTTTTAGCAGCAACCTAAAATGGGCTATTATTTGGCTGATATTGGTGTTTGGAAAATGTATGTCTATATTTTTTTTTACCATGTTTCATACAAACTTTTGTTTTTTAAAAAAGACTTCACTAAGTCACTTTCACATTAGCCAATGAATGTGCCTGTGTCGTCTTTTTCTCACTGCATGTTTCACACTCTGCTATAAACCCCTGCAGATCCCAGCTCACCTGATGCTGCGCATTGAGAGATGCTGGGCGACACCTACCAGTGATCCATACAGCAACATACAGTACACCTTCATCAGAGACAGGTCTGTTCTAAACACTCTCATTTCTCTATTACTCTGTTCTTAAATAGTAAGTAAAATAAAATAACACCAAACTAGACTATAATATTAAATAATTAGTCATTCTGGACCTTTTTAAATGTAAACAAATCTGCACATATACAATAGTAAATACATTTGTACTTGGTGTTGTTTTTGTAATAATAAAATAGTGAGGAGTTGGACAGCAGTGTGTGTTGAAACCTGCTTGTTCTGTGTTATTTCACCACACGCTCACAAACACCTCTCTGTGACGTTCTGCTTCCATGAACGCTGTTGTGAAATGAGAGAATTTGTGTTGCTCAGAGAGCTGGCCAGACAACAACAACTCGGGGAGCTAGGTCATGTGACTTCTGTCTGAGGGGCCACATGCTCCAACAGCTGTGCACGTCCTTGACAACCAGTCACTGTTTGGTTCTGTTAGTGAGAGCAGGCCAGTGAAAAAACACAATGATTACACAACACAGAGATGTGAAGGGAAACTAATCTGCCACTGGCCATGTTCAAAAACCAAACTGTAACATTATCATTTAGCTTCACAACTAACTACACACATTAAAGTCACCTCATTCTGCTGTATTTAAGTCTGGACTTTTTCTTTCTCTTCCTTATCCTGAATAGCTGCCCAGTGTTGGCCAACACACAGACCCTAAATGTCCTGAAGAACGGTCTGGGTCCTGAGGCCATGTTCAGGATCCAAATGTTCAAGTTTGTCGGGAGCTCTTACACCAACATCTTTCTCCACTGCAACGTACAGATCTGTCACAACACACCGGGGCTGTGTCAGCCTGTGAGTGAGATTATGCAGCAGCTCAGCTTTATAGTTCTATCTTTTATTTTTAAAGTGTTTACTAAGTGTTTTAGTGCCAAGAAAATAATGCTAACAGGGGTCTTCAACATTCTTCAGACCAAGGACCCACACATTGAAGCAGTTATTCACTGCTATATTAACTGTATAAAATGTTTCTAAAGTTGTATATTTAAATGGTCCAGAGTGTATATAGTACATACACGATCCTGTCAATTGTCATTTTTCATTATTAGGCTCCGCCCACATCTATAAACCTGGGTTCTATTTCCTTTAAAAATACTTTCATATTGATTTCCAGTTCCATATGCACTGGAAGATGCTTTCTATCCCCACCTCTGCTTTCAGTATGGGGACTGACTGTGTTCTGTGGGTAACTGCTACCCTCCACCTCCACCCTACCATGATTAACTCCGTAAATGAAGCTATAATGCTGTAATACATTGTGAAAACAATATAAATAGTAAAAGGACATTAAATAGTCAAAAGTCTAAGAAATACAGTATGTTCCCAATTTCATGAACTGTTTAACACGGGAGCTTGTTCATTCTCTTTTTCTTATTTTTGTTTGTTGTCGGTAAATGTCCAAACAGAACTGCTCTGGTGAAGATACAGTAATGAGAACAAGGAGAGATGCCCCAGTGTCCCACACTGTGTCATATGGACCAATCAGACGAGTTCTTCAAAGCAGCGAAAAGCCTAATCACAGTATATTTACAGTTTTTTAGATTGTCAATCTTAAAATCTTCAAAGCTTGGAATCTAACGTTGTGAAAGGCTAACTAACTACTGTACCTATGTTATTGTGTTCTTTTCTCATGCAGGTGCAGGTGGAATCCCTGCATTGGAGACATTTGTCTTGGGAGGCCTGCTGGTCGTTCTGCTGCTGATCATAGGAATTTTTGGGAAACTGTGGCTGAGATCGAAACGTTTCTACCCAGCGAGGGAAGCTCAGCTCACTTTGTCCAACATCCACCACATCTCAGAGGTGGCTTCATGAGTCTCAGTGACTCTGGGACAGGCCCCACCAGATAGATGTACAAATGTAAACTTATGATATAGACATGTGGTTTGTGACTATAGAATTAGAATATCCACTTTATTTTCTGTTGTTTCAACTTATGAAAATAAAAGGTATATATTTTATCGAGATTTTTTCTTTTTTCTAATATTTATCCAGATATTACTTCAGCCTGCTCAACCTAGTTCTTCATAAATGTATTGTGATATTTTCTTACAACTTATTTTGTGTAATGTTAAAGATTATATTTACTTTTTCAACATCTGCTTTATTTTGCATTCTCTCTCTCCCTCTTTTGTGTCTCCTATGTTGACCTTGCTATTTACTGTACTATACCTATCAGTTATTTTAGCAACATTTTTTGCAACTACTCAGCTAACCCTTAGCAATAGAAAATATCAGTGAATTCTGGTATTTCCTAACATTAACTAATTTCAGTAATATGATTTATTTCCCTCGTGTTAATTATTACATAGAGAATTAAAGCTTTTTAGCTTTAGAGTTTGTAGCTGTTTTGGCTAATTTTAAGGCATTACATTATTTCATTATGATCCAGATATGGATAAAACAAAAACATTTTTGGTTATGTAACTGACAAAAATGATATATGATATAATAAATGGTATATTTTTTTAAATTTTAGGAATTCTGTATATTTCATATTTACTCTATATGTATGTTACTATCCGCAGCACAAACATACGTTTCCTCAGTCATAAGATGTAAACTTGTGCACTCATCACTGATCAGGGTATTTCCCGTCTCTATTTCAGTGCTCACTCTCTTTTCTAAATTTGACCGGTGTTCTGACGTCATGACGTAGTGCTTCGGCGTACTGCTTGACCAACCAACACAAAGTCCGTCAGAACGGAGAAGGGCTTTAACAGCAGCACAGCTACTAACTGCTGCTTCATGTTACAAAGAACAATTTGACACAATTAAGACCGGGGCACACTTATTGTGGATGTATTATTTTCCTGTTGATTTACGCAAACCAAAGAGACTGATAAGTAACTCCTCGGAAATCCCCGTTTAATCTCGGGTAAGCACCGGTTTTTGTCGAAGCGATGTTATTGTAGCTAAAGCTAATGCTAACCGCTTGGCCATGTTGTTGATGTTCTTTTGTTTAAGTTCATAAACTTTGTTCATTTACTATATCACAATGTCTTGTTCGCACACTTATTCCATAAATAACTTATTTTATGCATGCAATAGAAATATTTGATGTCAAGACTTGAAATACCGAGTAATTAAAGAACCGGCTGCTGTATTGTTTGTTTTTAGCTGTTTGCTAACTTTTTGCTCAGTAACGCTTGCGTAATTTAGCCTGTTAGCTGTTGTTTTTGCGTTTGAATATCCCATTGAACATTATCCAAATTTGAAAAATGTCACTTATTTGTTTTCTAGGTTCGGTGTCAATAAAGTATGTGCTTTAGATTAAGGCAAGACTTTTAGGCAATATATAATATCACCAAGATCATAAATCTTCATTGACACCGTGTTTGTACTGAGGCACCAGATGGTTACAACGTCTGCTACTTGTATGTGTTTTACTGAAAATCTTCACACATTTGCACAACAGCTGTGAAACATACCGTTGTAGCGCAGCAGACTAATATACAGGAAGCAACTTGTACTTAAACATATCTCCTCACACAAATATTTTTTTAAACCACTTGACTTATACTATGAAAATCAATTGTGGGAAATTGGTGTGTTTAAAACAACATAAACAACGTTTCTCCAATATTTTCAAAGATCAAGAATTATAGAATCAGTTGCACAGTTGAGGTGTGTTATTTATTTTTGAAGCTGTTTACTTTTGTGGTTGATAAGTCATTGACAAGTTTCTTTACATTAGTATGCCTCAAACATTTAGAGATTTAACGTCTATATAAAAACACTTTAAATAAAAAAAGTTTCTTCTCTTTTAATATTAACTTGAGATGGTATTATATATTAAATGCATTTATTTTTTTTATATACTTGTGACTTTTGACATGCAAATATTTGAAATGTTAAAATGGCTTTGCCAAAGGTGTGTTTAGACATGTGTTATGGTGCTTCTTGCATGCTATTGTCTGGCCTCCTTTTGAGTCAACATTCATTATCCCACCTCAGAGGCTGCACCACCTAAGAAAAAACCCAGAGGCTAATGATTCTGAGATATTTATCTCATAGGTCTATTGTTGCAGACTCTGAATAACAAGCTGAAGGGGGTTTCAACCATGGCAATGAGTTAATGACATTTCTGAAATACTGAAAGTAAAGGGTCAGCTTTGCCCTGAAGTCTCTGAAGAGTCTAAGAAGACATCTAAGAAGCCTGATGTGAAATGATACTGAACTGTCCAAAGATTCAGTAAAGGGCACATGTGAGGCTCAGTAACAGAATACTTAAAGGCATAGCCTGCTCACGTGTGTTGCGTCAGCTCGCTGCGTTGTGCATCTAAGGTACACAGGATAACATAACACCAGTATGTTCTGTGATAGCTTTTGGTTGCACATGCTTACCCAAAACAGTGTTGTTATCATGGATGTCTTTTCAAGGTTGTGGATCACTTATTATTTGCCATACTTTCTTTCAGGGTCCAGCACATCAAACCCTTTCCCCTGATTGAAGAAGCCACAATCTAAAATGGATAACCTTCATCCACATTGCTTAAAATGTATCAACAGAAGATGTATGGTAAGACCAGAAACAGGTGTTTCATGCGACCTCATGTGCTGCCCTCTGGTCTGCGGTGCTGTTTTCCACACATGCAAACTTGAGGAGCATCGTTTGCTGTGTCCGTACGAGCGGCTGTCATGTCTCAACAAGGAGTTTGGCTGTCCATTTACCATTGCAAGGATCAGAATGGCCCAGCACCTTAAGATCTGCCCTGCCAGTGTAGTCTGTTGTACCATGGAGTGGAACCGCTGGCCTGTCAGCTATGCCGATCGCAAGTCCTACGAGAACCTAAGCAAAGACTTTGATGAGGTGGAGCAGCTAGACATGGCTTTGGCCCTGCAAGATCAGAGGATGTTGTTGGAGTCCTTGAAAGTTACCACCACTATGTCAAAATATGGAACCATGGAGGATCGTGATGAAAGTGAGAAGATGGCTATAGCGTCAAGTTTGCCAGAAACTGTGTTAGATAATAAGATGATGGAAATGGAAGAAGAGCCTTATAATGAATTGTATAGTGCCTCACTTGAGGCAGGCAGAAGTTTGGCAGTGGCCTTGGACATTGTCTCTAGTTCTAAAGACATGGATGTCAATGTAGGAAATGTAAACAGCAAAAAGACTGATAAGAAAAGAGTCCTTCGCAATAGACAAAATGGTGATAATCATAATGTTTATGTTGCTGAGGGAGGTAGGAATGTAAACATGCAAGAGAGTGACTCTGATTCAGAGTCTGAGCTGGGAGCAGTAGGTGGAGTGGATTGTGCAGTAGGGACAGACGGAGAAGAAGATGCTATCAGCTGGGTGGAAGAAAATGATTTTGTCGAGTTGTTGTTTCAGGAAAAGGAAGAAATTGTTGAAGAGCCAATAGATAATTCTAACCCTTCCTGGCCAGAGATGCCTCGGGACTTGGTGGGTCTGAGACCTCCTGTGCCTCAACAAGTACCTGTTGTACCCCCAATGCCATTCCTCCTGTCTGATCATGTGAGAAATAACTTCCTGCATTACTTACCCTCCGAACTCAGGTACAGGTGCTTGGAGCGTAAATTCCATAACGTTGAAGTCCTTAGAGGTATAAGTATGTTTACATTCAACGGTCGACGGGCTGTCCTATCAGACCCATACTTGTTTCGAGCAAAAATGGAGGACAAGGCAGTTGACACATCTGACCTGGAGGTAGCTGATGATCCCATGGGGCTACATGGTATTGATCTAATCACTGCAGCTCTGCTGTTTTGTCTTGGTGATTCTCCAGGGGGCAGAGGAATTTCAGATAGCAGATTTGTGGATGGCTACCACATTGATTTTGGTACGCAGACTTTCTCCTTCCCTTCAGCAATTCTAGCAACAAACACAATGGTGGGAGATATTGCATCAGCTTCTGCCTGTGACCACGCCAGTCCACAGCTATCCAACCCAAGTCCCTTCCACACACTCAGATTAGACCTCATGCTGGAATGTGTGGCCCGATACCAAACCAAACAGCGCTCCATGTTCACGTTTGTGTGCGGGCAGTTGTTTCGGCGAGATGAGTTTTCATCACACTTCAAAAATGTTCACGGTGACATCCATGCTGGTCTCAACGGCTGGATGGAGCAACGCTGCCCTTTGGCCTACTATGGCTGCACCTACTCTCAGAGGCGTTTCTGTCCCTCTGTCCAGGGCTTCCAAATCATCCACGACAGGCACCTTGGCTCTTTTGGAGTTCGCCCCAATCTCCCTCTAAATAATAGGGAAAACCATCCAAGGAAGAACCGATACTTGGATTCTAAGTGCGACCAGTTCAGCTCCCTTCCCTTTGAGATTTTGCAACATGTAGCAAGCTTCCTGGACAGCTTCAGCTTGTGCCAACTATCCAGAGTGTCACACACCATGAGGGATGTGTGTGCCAGTCTGCTCCAGATGCGAGGCATGGTGGTAATGCTGTGGGAGAAAAAGAGGCGGGCTGATGGATCTCTGTCATGGCAGATCACAGATAAGGTAAATATGTTTATATTTTTTTTACATAAAACGTAACCTCTGACATCAGTACAGAACATCGCAACAAGGCCAATATTCTTAATAGTTTATTTCTCTATTCCATTGAACCACACAACACTGGCTGACAGACATGAAGATCGTAAAACAGAATCTCACGTTGACACATTGGTGCCAGTTGAAGCTGCAGTTGATTTAAAAACCCATTTGTATTGCAGAGTTATATGACCTGACAGTAACGGTTGTTATAACAACCACGTGGGGACAAATGAATCAGTGTAAATGAGACTTTACAGGTGACTGGTGTAGCTAACTTAACAGTAATAATGTGGGCTATTTCTCTTTTTTAGGTGTGGCGTTTCAGCACTGCTTTCGGCACAGTCGACGAGTGGAAGTTTGCCAACATCGCCAGCATGGCTGACCACCTGAAGAAGTGCAAGTTCAACACGATCACTCGGCGGGAGGAGGCTATTCCTCTGCCCTGCATGTGTTTCACCAGAGAGCTGACAAAAGAGGGACGGTGCTTGCGTTCAGTTCTCAAGCCGGTAGCCTGACGTGGACCGCTGGACGTTTGAGATGATCAGCACTCAAAAGCTAATTTTATCCTCCAGTGTTTATAGTGTTTACACAGGCTAGTCTCATCCAGCCTGAGAAGGATGGATACCTCCTGGTTTGATGCTGATCTTCGTATCATGTTGGTAAGAATCACACCTACAGAACGAGGCAGATATTTTGATAGGTCAAAAGTAATACTTTTGTAAGTTCCGATAAATATTAACAATGTTGGTCAGAATTGGGACAAGCAAATTTAATTGGTTCTTTTTTTTCTTCCAATGTAGAGTGGTTCAATTCACCACTGTGTGGCAGTTTCACCAATATTTGACATTCTGTACATTATTAGTAGTATCTTTTTTTTTACTTTTTATATCAGAGTCAGTACTGTGCTTCACTGGAGTTGAGAGCAGAGCCTTAACTTGTTACACACTTGACTTTGTAGTCTTGGTCGAGAACATCTCGTTACGATCTCTTAACTGAAGCAGGAACAGTTTACTGGTGTTTTGCAGAGCTTTACATTATAGCCTCATATCCACATTCATCATAAGTGTTTGCTGCTCGAGGCTGTTGGCATAGATGTACCTTTTTAAGACCAGCCACCGACCGCTGCTGAACTTTATCGCTGTTGTTGCTGGGTTTAACAGAGTCCATTTAATAATTAAAATTATCAGTAAATCTTTTCCTGGCTTTTAGAACACTGTCCTGAGATAAGGTGTAATGTTCTAGTCAGTTCCTGTCTGTTAATTGAAGGTTTATCTCTTCTTAGAGAACCCTTTGGTAGAACTATCTGTTAGAATCAAACTGGGATTTTCTATGTTTAACGTTTCCCCAGAGACATAAACAAATAGGCAGACTTTGAAAAAAAAGTGCAAGATATACTTTGCTAAGAGACAGATCCCAAGTTTTATTACATTATTAAATGTTCAGACCCATCACATCTGGATCAAATCAATAACTGACTGTGTTACGAGCACCTTTGTCAGCATGTCTAACAATAGCATCTTCCTTTTCATGTGACCTCAACAACAGTTTTGTTGCTAGATAGTGTGGTCGTCCCCCTGTTTTCTCACTTCTGACTCCCATGCTGGTCTGTGGGTCAGAAGTGAACCATAATTATCACCTGTGTTTCCGCAGCACAGCAATGCATTATCTACCACCACCACCACTTTGAAAAGTAACCAGCAACTATTTTTTTTATTTTCTCTGAAAGTCTAAATGTAGCTAGTACAAACAAACACTACCTGATGAACATCAGAGTCCACGAGTGGCTGTGGGTAGTGATGACCTCACAAACCCCTGCAGGTCAGGCGTTTGACAAGAACAGGCACAGGCACAATTAACCTTCATTTAAAAGCACCCTCACCTAAAGCTACAGTAATTATCCTGTGTGTATGCACTACAGGTCCACTGTGTTGATGTTTGTAGTTTCTTGGTTGTCTCAGGGTTGTAGCTCGTAACTCTTCGTCTGAGTAGATATGTTGGTATGTGTGTGTGAACACAATCACAAATCTTACACATCAGTTTCCTGATTACTGTGTGTATTGTACCACACCACTCAGTATTAGCCATGTGTGTTTGTGTTGCAGTGCTGAACTAACCATTGACACGTTTGGTGTGTGTGTATGTACGTGTGTGTGTGTGTGCGCGCGTGTGTGTGCACGTGCACCCTAAAGGCTTCGGAGAACCTGATAAAGACTGCTTAAGTCTTTGAATCAGTTCTAGACTAGGCATCTGCAACGTTTAACACCAGCATTTTTTATCATAAAACCACTAAATACATTTATTCAAGATCCACACAACCAAGTCAACCATTTAAATTAAGTCAGCAGTGTATTATATAATCTTTTAAATTCACTCATTTTACAGAATTATTTCAAATTATGCAGCGGAAATATTTTCTTTTAGCTGTTATTAGAGGAAAGACACAAGATGCCGTTTCCACGTAACAAATTCCAACATTGCTCCCTCTGCTGTCTAAGGTAGAAGAGGACAATTGTTTCAATCTTGATTTCTGTAAGAACACTATTTGACTAATTTGATGTATTAGTCAGAAATATTTTTTGCAAAGGACAGTCAGAGTCACTTTGTTCCATTTACAGTACATGCAGCCAATGCCAAGAAGCTGAAGAGCCACGTGTTGCTTGGGACACTTTTTATTAGAAGCACCGAAGCACCTAAATGAAATTCTTAATGGTTGACAATAAAAATGTGTGTAACAGAGCAAGCAGCAGAGTGTGACCTATTAAAGTGACACGTTCCACTCTACGTCCAACTGTTAGTTTAAGGACAGTTATTGCTTTACTGTCCTAAAAAGTTGGATTGCAGAAACCTTTGCTTTCAGATAAGATGTAATCTGTCCTCAAATTTTTCTGTATCCCTGTACCTGAGGGTGAATGTTATCTTCTTGGTTTAAATGTATTTTAGGATAATCTGATTATTGACTAGGAAAATGTTGGGGTGTTTTTTATTTTAAAGCCTGATGTGATTAAACTAAACTCTCTTTTACACGTCTACATCTTGAGGTGTTGCTGTATTTCAAAAATATTTTTACAGGTACGTTTTGGTGTTTTTTGTGGAAAAATAATAGTTGGATGATTGATTTGCACATGATGGCATGTACTGTAAAATGTAATGTAATCAGGACATTGGGGGGCGCTGTTTACTCAAGCAGCAGTATTTTTGCTCTCGTCGTGTTCTGCATGTTTTTGGTGTCTGGGTAAAAAAAATCACTCCGTACAGTTTTTCATTCAGACGACATAAAATTATTTTAGTTGTTAGAGTTTTTTTTTAATGAACGAACTTTATCCAGGGTCGAATGGTGTTTTTTTTTTTTTTTAAAGTGTTAACATTCAATCAGCCTTCAGGACAATTGTATTTCGTCACTTTTGTTTTTACAACACTGACATGTCTTTGCAGGCACCTGGAGTGTATGAACATTTTTTCTCAGTATTATTTGTTTTCACTCCGTGTGTATGAAGTGTGTGTGTGTGTGTGTGTTTTCCCACCACATGATGCCAGCTTCATTTGTTTGACTTTTGAAGCATTTTAATAAAACAACCCTTGGTTTTTAATATTGAGTTTTTGATTATACACTTACAATTCCTTCTGCTGTACACTGAAAAGAAGAACTTTATTGGTACCAATTTGGGTATTCTCGTGTTAATGGCAGATTTGGCTTCCCCCGGCAGGTGCCGAGCATGTGGTTCCTCAAGTACCGACTTATAAAGATATGCTCTAGGTGAGGCTCGAACTCACAACCTCGGCATGACTCTGCAGGTTACTGTCTTATAAGTACCGCGCGCTGACCGATTGCGCCACTAGAGCTCGTAGAAAGTATTTTCTGGCAGATTCACTTTCCGTCTTCACAATTGACTTCGCGTCCGGTTTCCCAGCAATTTCTAATTTCTTAGATAAGCTCTTCTGATCCTGATTTTTTAAAACCAAAACTATATCGTTCTATGGCAAATACATGCAAAATATTACAAAACACATTTAAATTAACTAGCCACCATCGATATAATTTTGTCGTGGTTAACTGAATATTCAACAATTTTGATTAAAAAACAACACTTAATGCTGCCCCTTTTCCTACCTCTAGGTGGCACCAGATTTCCACATAAAAATACTGTACTTGTTATTCCGTAGATATTCAATGTTGTTTATGATCCTTTTTCTCTCTCCTAGAAAGCAACGATACTTTCTATATCTAATTTTTCTCTATAGTCATACATTATTTTTATTGTTACTTCGTTCATACTTTTTTAGATCTAGCTTTTGTTTTAACTTGTAATTTTTTTACGTAATTGGGTTTTAAACTTTGGACTAATACCTTTAGTTTTTTCCATTGCACCTGATAAAGAGTTAAAGAAGGGTTATACATAATACCACCCTACTCCGCTATGAAAGGTGTAATGCGCCTCCTCTCAGCCAGTAAGAACCAGTCTTGTCATGTGAGTCGTTAGCATGTTAGCCAGACCCGGGTAACATAGTTTCTAAGTACTCTGTTTATTCTGCACATGTGATAATTATATATATATATATATATCAGACTCTGATTTTGCAGTGTTGTGATTTTGTAGTGTGCCAAAAAAAAAAAAACCAAACAAACCTAAAAACGTCTATTAATTATACGTTTTCAAGTCAGTTAGCCAAGTTAGCCTAGCCCTGACGTAGCGATGTCAGGAAATGACATCATGATGTGATCTAAGCTGTGGAGCACAAATGAACTCAGAGGGCCAGCGTTCAAAAACCGCATGTTATTTTTAGGTTATATACACATTTAAAATGTTTTCTGTTTGTTGTTCTCACTGTTTAGGAGGTATATGTACAATGTATTACTGTTGTTAGTTGGGTTTTAGGTAAACTTTAATGTCGAATACCTAGTGGTAACACAGTTTCTCACAGATTTTGATCTTGTTTTTAGACAACAGGATGTTGCATTAGAGCAGCAGAGCATAACATAATTCAGCTGTTGTACATCTAAATCTTTGACCAAAGCTAGAAAATAGCTTTTTGCCACCAATGGTTTAGAGTTTTGCTGATTCATGCTCATGAGATGTAACTCCTAATACACACAGAACATTTTAATTATTTGGAGAAGTACAAAGAGATAATTACTTTAAAATTTTCTGTTTTATACCAGGAGTGGGGTTCGAACCCACGAGGACTATTGTCCATTGGATCTTAAGTCCAACGCCTTAACCACTCGGCCATCCTGGTTATTTTTCAGACCCTGAGTTGTTAATTCATGATGGCAGTGATAAGACCAGTACCAATGGGATTCTATTCTGTTAAACTAACGAGACAGAGGGATGGGCCTGCTGTGCAAACAGAAAGTCATCTGATTCTTTTGTCATCTGAATGAACACACATGCGTTTGTTAATGTCTTGGTAAACCGGCCCTGTAATACAAATATAATTAATACGGTCAGTTTGTTTTTTAGGAAACATAATGGAAGCACAAGACGGATTTGTCACTGATGGTGGATTTTGAAAATCATTGAGCCGCAGCTATAGGTTGAGATAAGCGCACATGAAGATATGAGCTGAAATATTGCAAAATATGCAATCAACACCATAGTAGCAGACCCGCCCAGCTGACCACAATAGGATTAGTGTTTTTCATTCTGAAAATGTGTGAAGCAACAGCTGTCCTGATAAAGAGCAGTATTTTAAATTCTGGTTCCTCCCCATCACTGAGAAATCTTGAAGTCACATCACGCTCATCTCTGTGTTGTTCTTAATAACACTCTGTAAATGCAACACCCATATCTGACCTAATAATTTATTTGCACTTGGACATGTGGTTTAAAACCGGCTGAGTGAAGAAGACAGTTGCTGAAAGATTTTATTTGGACACATCTACAAGCGCTTATGCAGTTAGAACTGGCGGATTATACTTAAATAAATACGCATAGACCAGTGTACACCAGGAAAATATATCATTGGTAATCTTAAATACTTGAAATAAAGTGCAAACGAAACAAACTAACAGAGCAGATGACACCTCTAGGTAGATATTTAGGTGGACAATAGTCTAATAGCTTAAAGCACTGGGAAGACTGGAAGTAGTTCAGGTTTTTGTGTTGAAACCATAAAGTCTTATATCAAACAGGGGGTCTCATTGACAAAGACATATATCTGATCCTCATTTTGACAACTAAAGTTACACTTAGCATCAGTTTAACCAATGTGGAAAAACTTGGTCTTCTTGTCCATTATCTTCATTATCTTTGTTAGCACTAGCATAAGGACATAAACTTTGTGCATTTTGAAAAAAAAACAGATTTTGTGGAACTTAAAAGTTTGTCTCCCTTTATGTCCCTTGATGGTAGTTGAAATAGGTACTGAAATTGTATTTGTATGGTAATATTACAACTCTTATCATCTTGACATCTTGAAAAAAGTTATAATAACAATAACAACAAGTTTTATGTTCAATCTCCAAACAATGTGAGGTGAAAATGAGCTAAGAAATGAAGGTGAAAGATAAAATGTAAACAAAGGCAATCTCTTGGGAGAAAAAGAGAAAGGGAAATAACATAATCCCAAAGATTAAAAAATAACTTCTCATTTTATGACAGTTAAAGGAGCTTTCTCATCATTGACCTGTGTTTTGGTCCTCAGTCAGTTACAGCAAGGGAAGCACCAGCAGAAGAGTTTCTTGCACGGATTGTTCTTCTTGTATCGCACAGCCTTCTTGACCTCGTCTGAAGCTTTCATGACATAATCCTCGGTGGCGTTGACGTTTGCTTCAATGTTGTTCAGCATGTCACCCTGCTCCTCCACCAGCATAGCCATCTGGGAGAAAAGGTCATGAATGTCTCTGATGCGACCCTCCAACTCTAGAAGCTCCTTGTGTCGGTTCTCGATCTCATTCAGAGCCGACCTGGCAGTCTTTCCTTCCAAGAGAAGATTATCTGAGAAGACGTTCCACTTGCCCGTCTCAATCATCTCGTCTATCTGCTCCATGGTCACCTCTTTGCCCATGATCTCTGCTTGCCTTTGTATGCGTGTTTTGCAGTTCTCCCTCTGGGCCATCTCTGCTTCATTGTACTCACATATGGCATTGTGGAAGGTGCTGGTCAGAGATATATATTGTGAACGCACCATGCGGGCTGTAGCCGATGAGGGCCCCTGCTCCTCATCCAGGTGCTTACAAAGCTTCCCCATCTGCTCTAGCCGGGCGTATAGAGAATCCCCTCTGGCTTTGATGTGTTTTCCTAGAGCGTTGGAGTCTCGCTTGATGCTGCTGATCCTCCTGACGGACGTGAGAAACCTGCTGTTCTGCTTCCCCAGGCGCTTCACGTCCTGCCTGAGCAACTGAATCTCCTTCCTCATCACCTGCGTTTCCCTGTAGATGCTCTCTATCAGGTCTTCTCCCTCAAATATGATAGCTTGCTGCTCCAGTTGTTCCTCATCCTCAGGATTCTCCTCACACCTGAGCTCCTCCTCATCCTCTTCTACTGAAGAGTTGGGGATGAACGTCTGCAGCTCCAGCAGTCGGTCTCTCATCTTGCCTGAATCAGGAGTCATGAATCTTTACTAACTTGACAAAAAAAAAAACATATATGGAAGTTATACTATGAGCTAATACAATCTTTTTGCTTAGCTTTTAATGGTGCGTTTGCTGTCAGTAGCTAGATGTCCAAACCTCTTGTATGATTTGTAAAATGCTTTGGCTGGTCATCAAAACACCAAGGACACGTTAGCATGCAGCTCAAATCAAGTTCATAACCTTTGGTCAATGTCAGAAACTATGCAAAGAGCTGGCTAAGAAAAATAATTTCCACTAACCTGGTACCAAGTGACTGAAAAAAAAGGTTTTAAAAAACAATGATAATCTATCTGACACAGCAGTGACTATCTTCTAAAGAAGGCTGGTGAGCTACTTCCTGACTCTGCTTCATCACTGCAGCCTCGGACTGACTGAGTCGGGGTTAGGGTCCGCTGATGATGTGATTAATCTTCAGTCAAGATAAAAATCTATGAAAATGTATTCTTTCAACTCAATCACAGTAAAAGCTTAAAGCAAAATACAAATACAATACAAAAGTATAGCTGTTTCTATCTTTTTTACTGTCATTATATTACAGTTTTATTTGCCTCAAATGGTTTCTTAAATAGTAACAGCAGTGGAACTCAACCCCAGTCTTTGGAGAAGTGCTTCATAAATACACAAGTCTTGCTTGAGGAATGTATAAAGTCACTTTGGGGTTTTGAAAAAAGTATAAAAAAACATTAAACAAAAGATAATAAGTTAATTTTACCTTGTTCTTTTCTCCCCCAGCGATGCTAAAGTAACCAAGTCACCGCAGCAGTCAAACTCATTTCCTCTTTTTCTCTCACTTGGAGGCCAAGGTTTCAACATGAAGATGAGTCAATAGTTTTCAGCAGGTCACGCTCACACTTCTCTGCTTTTAGTACTTCTCCTTTACACACTCATACACACACACCCATACACGCACACACATCGCCATAGCTTTAAACTGACAGATTCCCAAAAGCAACAGGTACTAATGCGGAAGATCACACCTCCTCTGCCTCCTCCTCTCTGTACTCCTCAGCCAAATATCAGATGTTGTAACAGTCTCGCTCTCTCTCCCACTCTTGCACTGTTTCTCTCTCTCTCTCTCTCTCTCTCTCTCTCTTCTCTCCTCTCCCTCTCTCTCTCTCTATTACTCTTTCTCTCTCTCTCGTGCTCACTAGTCAGAACCTGCATGTCATAATTATACATCAGTGCTCTTCAAACATCTCTTGGTTTTGTTATTATTTTCTGAGGTGTCCTTTAGGTGTCATTTTAATCTTTAGTATGTTGTTCACCCTTTATGTAAACAGTAAAATTAAAAACCAGAGTAGGATCAAGTCATTGTTATACAAGTCAAAAGAAAGTTTCTCTCTCTCTCAAATCTTTGCTCTCAATTCCTGAGTTAAGTCCCAAGTCAAAACTGAAAGTCTTAAGGCCTGCACATTCAGCTTTGAGCTTTCTTGACAAACCTTTTTTTTTCAAAATTTGATCTTGTCTGTATGTTTATTATCAAATTTTAAGAAAACTCTTTTTTTAAGAAAACTCTTTTATCAAAATCCCAATCTTTTGTCAAAATCCTAATGTTGAAAAGTGATGAATTGTTTGGCATTTAAAAGAAACATCTTGTCTGCATGTTCCTCATCAAATTAAAGCATTTGGAGGAATGTATTAGATTTTTTTATTATTATTATTATTTTTTAATAAAAAAAATCATTTTTGGTAAGAGAATTTTTTGGTAGAATCCAAATTT